AGAGAGGGAAAAGCCATCTGATAGTGACACGAGATATTTTATTATCTAAAAAAGGATTCAAGAGAAAAAAAAAGAAAAAAAACCCTGTTAAACCCAAGTGCTTGGAGTTCTCTGAGCACATTTCTTCCTTTCTTTGGGAATGGCAGTTCCCAGAGCAAGCTGCAAAGTCTGCCTCAACAAAGCTACCATTTTCACTGCAGTCTAAACAGACAATTAACAACCCCAAGTTAACACCAAAAAGCTGGATTCATGTAGAAATTACCTTTACAGTAAAGTCCTCTGTGTGTGTCTGTATGAGTTTGAAATAATTTCAGTAAAAGCTTATCTAAAAATTCCACTAGAAAGAAATCCTCCATGTTTTCATACTAGAAAGAATAGGTGGCTTTGCTCATATTGCCTGAAACAGATCAGAGCAATGCCTGCTTTGTCCCCTCCTCCTCCCACATATTCTTACAGCTTTTGCACCATCTTCAGCTTTAGGACATGTTCCTCCATGGGAGTTGAGTGTAGTGGTGTTGTGGATATTTCTTCAGCTTCAGGGGGATACCAGGATCCCTATCCACTCTGGCTGCAGCAGAAGCAGCCAGGGCTGCCAGAAGCATCCAGCAGAGCAAGAAGCTGAACTCTTGTCTTCGACTCTGCAGCAAGAAGCTGCATGCTATGTGTCCTGAACAAAGCTTCACCTGAGCTGTATATCTCTGTAATTCTGATTCTGAAACAGCGGCCTGGTGAGCTGGAAGGAAACAAGGACAAAATATTCTCTGCTTGTGGTACATTCAAAATTTATTTACTATGACATTTGGTGCACTGTTTTGGCTTGAAAGGACAATTCTGTTAGCTGGAAAATTCCTGACCTTCTTGATTTGATATTCAGCAGCTTTGCTAACAAAAATGAGGGAAGAGAATCAGCAGCAAGAGGATTTTTTTGTGAATGCAAATAGGCAAATGAACCAGAAACTCCTTTTGGTCTTTATCCTGCTCCCCCAGAGGAAGGACAAGAACACAACTCAGCTTTATTGAGCATGAGTATTATTGATTATGGAGGTTTTTATGGAGATAGGTGTAATTTCTGCTCATCATAGTATTGTCCCTGATGATTAGGCAGAGAGTTTCAATATAACATAGTCGTTAAAGCATAGATATTTGTTCTAAAGCTTGTATTAAGTTTCAGCCTTATATTTTACATTTTGATTAGTGCATAGTTCAGAAAACCCCCAAACATCTTGATACCTGGTAAGATAACACTATGGTTAATTAAAAAAGTTTCCTGACTGATACTCAGCAAGAGATAGTAAGAATTGAATGACAGTGATATTTTTTTCAATAGGAACTACTTCTTCCAGCATGCTCTGTAACATATGCTATAGCTTGTCTGTCTTTCTCTAAGTGGAGTAACCTCTCTATTGTCCTGCAGCTACAAATAGGCAATTAGGTTTTATTGCCAGCAGCTGCCCTACTCCAGAAAAGGAGGAGGCCTCCCTCCATTCTGGCTAGCTACGTGGTCTGAAGGTTTTATTCAGATTCAGAGAACACTACAGCTGGCAATATGGCAAACTGCTGAATGCTGTGCCTAAGTATGCAATTACATTATAATTCTTGAGTTTAATACTCTGCACAGTTGCTACAAACAATGTTCACATGATTCTTGCAGCAGTTAGTTGACCATCTTATCCTCTGAAGATGGTGGTTTATGGAGGAATAAATTGCAGGCACTGAAGTTGAAATTAGGAAAGTGCTTTGCATGCTTAACCTTATATTCAGGATGGAAATTAAAGAACATGACTTACTCAGAATACATACTAAGACTAAACATGTTATTTAACCTCAGGGACCCTTAAGCTAGAGATGAAATCTACTGTGTGTGGACGAACTTTGTTAAATAGGCTGGTAGTCTGATACAAGGTATTAACCAATTCTCAATCAAGCAGTATAATTTCATACTTGAAAAGATAATTTGTTTTTACCAGAAAAGTATTTATAAAGTATTTGAGACACATTGGTGCTACAAAAGCAGTAATACCATGACATTAAGTAATAATGAGATTAATCATAGTAATTACTAATAAGACAATTAGGTTTTCTTACATAGCTTTTAGGTTTATTTCCTCTAGATGAAAAATACATTTGTTCTGTAATGTTAATTCAGTTAAGATGTAAGATTTTTCCCCCAGCATGACTTTCCCCAGCCACAATCAACAGTCTGTACCCTTTGTCCAATACAGTGCCACTAGTTTGACCTGGATAAGCAGGAAGAGAGCACACTAAAGATCACAGCAGTTATATGAAGAGTGTGGTAATGATGGAGCTAAATTATTCATTCTGCCACCCAATTATGTCTGGTAGCTGAGGTACAGAAGTAGTATCTCTTGAATTGCATGTAGCCTAAACGAGTAGAACAGCTCACCTGCACCGAAAAGTCTGTTTTCAGACTGCATTTGTCGTTTCATTGCACTTGCAGAGAGCAGCTTGACACATTTAAGGTGTATTGAACTATTAGTGCTAAAATACAGTTCATTAATTTAAATTACTGTTTAGTTCACTAAGTCCTTGGGCTTTGGTCATACTGATACTGTGTATTTGGTCTGCTTCTTTGCTCTGTCAGAGACATCCATTTATGGCATGATAAAATCATTAGTGCTGGTTATGTGTCACCATGTAAATGCCTTCTTTTGTTACCGTGTGCCTTTTCTTTCAGCTTTGGCATGTAATTGTCAAGATGTATTTTAGTTTCCTAAATTATACAACCTAATTTAATGAAAACTGCTTGCAAAATAAGTAAATGCACTGACAAAAGCAAAACATTATTTCATTTAAGAAATTTATGACTAGAGGCAGGACTTTACTTCATTCAGTGTGCTTACTCATTGCTATTTATCAGCATTTGTTTAGAGTTGCAATTGAACAAAGAACAGTAAATGCAGTTTATTGTAGAAAGGCAAGATCACATGGCCTGGCCTTAGCTAATTTATCTTTCGTGACAGATTCTATTCTCTGCTACTAGTATTATTACCATATTACATTTCTCCCATGATAGTGCATCTGTAGCTCTTGCATTGCCAAACTTAGTGGTAGCATTTAATTTGTGTGACATTACTTCAGTTATCAAGAAAAAGCTCATGCTGAGAAACACTGTGGCTAGCTAATGATAGCATAAAAAATAAGTTCTTGTAAGCAAGAGCAGTGTTTCAAGTACTTTGCTAAAGACTCTTTCTGAGGCTGCACTATCCCATTCCTGTCATGGGAATCTGGGTGTTCACCAAGAAAGTCTCCAGAGGAAGGTTAACAGGTAGATACACTGAGACAGTAGACACAGAATAAGCTGGACAATATTTTCTGTTAAGTAATGGCAGCTGGACAATGCAAAGACTGCAGCACTGAATTATATGAAAGCCACACTGAGATCACTCTAGTCTATTCCTCTTTCTGTGTAAGACCGTCTCTATGTATGTAATCTTCAACAGAAGCTAATCTAATCCATCCTTGGAGACATACAGTGATGGAGAAGCTGTGTAACTCCTCACATATTTCCTATAATAATATAGACACATGGTTTTGTATGACATTCTTATATTCATGCCCACATTAACTAGAATACAAATATACCCATGGCATGAGTAGCTGTAAACAATGTAGCTGTAAATCAGAAATCTTCATGGAGGGTCCTACCAGGATTCACCAGGAGTCTGCTCTGGACAAAACATAACTTACTACCTTTACCTACAAACTGAAAGACAAAGTAAAATGAAAATTAGCAGTTTTTGGAAATTATGGAAGCTAGTGGAATTTACAATTAGACAGAGGGTGATTGTAGAGAATGAATCATTTGGTAGGGTTGGCTGATTTGAATATCCTAATACAGATAAATTTGCACTCATATATCTAAGGAAGAAAGGGCATATTTTATATAGACATTATCGGGCTAAGTATTTAAAAAAGATACAGTATGAAAAGAAGTCAGGGTCTTGGTAGATAATTGAGTTTGCAGTGGGATGATGCAATTGGAAAGTGAATGTCAGCCCTGAAGCCTAAGCAAGGAAAATCTGAAGTGGGAGTAGGAAGGTGATATTAGCTCTGTCTACAGTAAATGTAAAACCATTACAGGAATGCTGCATGGAACTCTCATACCCACAGTTCAGAGTGGACTCTGATATATCACAAAGTAGTCAGAAAGCCGTGCAAAAAACATGTTGAGATCTGAAAGGCATGCCTTATTTTGAAAAGCTAAGAAAGAGTAAGTTCCCTGTTTTGCCAAAAAGACAAGCAAGACAACTGTAAAATATGTTTTGATTGTGATTGGCTTGTGATAAGAGAAAAAGGCATAACAAAGGACAGTATGGGATATTTTTCTCTTCATCTAACTGCAAATAAAGCCCTTAAAAAACCCAAACCGCCCAGTGAATAATTACCCATATTGTCAGCGATATGCTGCATCTTCTACTCTGTATTGATATGTTTAAAGGTCTTTCCAGGGAGATTGCACTTTCAGGAGAAATTACAGGCCTGCTACTGAGGCTTAGAGTTGAGGTGCTGCATCTTGCAGGAGCACAATGATCTCTTCTGACCTCAAAGTTTGTGATAGGGTGACTAACACAATTCTCCTTTCTTTCTTTGTTTCCTATCAAATAATATTGATGTATACCTGCTGAGGAAGTAGCTTTTAGTCTTTCGAGTTTGGAAATAAGGCAAATACTGCACCAGCTTTGGACAGATTTATCACCACTGAAATCAATAGATTTGCTTTTTAAAATAATCCTGAGAATGGGGAGACTGTAAACTTGTTTCTGAACAGCACAACCTGTTCCCACCAAGAAAATAGCCATTAAAAAATCATGCTGAATCACGGGAACTGGAAACAGTAGTAAATTTTGCTTCTACAGAGATTATTTCTGCTGAATACAGAAAAATCACATCCTTCCATTTGTAATTTTATTTCTATATTCTTATATTGGAAATAATATCTAACTCTTGAGTGGTCCTGACTGCAAAAACACCAGACTGTGTTTTCAATAAATAATTCCACTTTAATGGCAAAGTAATAATTTAGACAGATACAGTGTGCACACCTGCAAAAAAATATACGCAAGCTGGTTTACAAGCTAGAGGAACAATAAACCAATAGAAAATACATCATCCAGTTAAGTCCGATGACACCAAATACTTATTATTAGGGTTTTACAAAGACTACAAAAATTTTCAGATGATTTATTTCACTGTTTCTGTCTATTTACATGATATGTTACATCAAAAATGTACAAAATATAAAATGTGTACAGACAAATGCTTCACAAACAATTTCTGAGTTGTAAACTAGGTGGACTCACTGAGATGTATTGCAGGAAGTTTTGTATATGTAATATTGTGTGTTTGTGAGCTAAATATGGCAGGAAAAGATTAGCAGGTTTACTCAGAGCACAGGTATAAGAAAGAGCAGCTTTGTTTTAGTTCTTTGAGTCAGTTAAGGTGTATGAGGTCATATTTTGCATCAGAAACGGATCCAGATTTGGGGGGCATGATGTTGGTTTGACTGAATCCTACATGCATAAATTCAGTTTTATTAGGGCAGTAGCACCGCGTAGGGACCTCTAGATTCAGCGATGCAGCTGAGTGCCATTTGGAAACTGCATTGATTTCTTTGAGTTACAGCAAGTGGCCACAGGACAGCCACAAGGAGTTAATAGCACCAGATACACATCCTGAAGGTGACATCCATGGAGGTGTACAGTACATGTCTACACAATGCCAAAGCCCTTAGGTACCTTCTTGTTCATGTGCACCTATTTCAACCTCATGCCTCTTATGGTAAAAGAGCATTTTTGAATACTCTGAGCAGTCTGAATGCAATCTGTTTGTAGCCTGCCGTGACATATGGACTTAAAACATTTTCAGACTTTTCCCCCCCAAAATGTATTTGCTTCAGATAGATAGTGAAACGTGCTGACTGTATCAATGATAGCTCCTGCATAGTCATAATAATTGTAAGTACATGACAAACACACCAGGTAATAACAGCTTTTAAGGTTTGCATTCTTGTATTTGTTTGCAATATATGGGAAATCTCAGCAAGTGAAACATTTCTTAACACCAACAGAATAAAATACATTTTTTGTTTGTTTTTGATTTGTGCAAGGCTTTTTTTTGTTTGTTTGTTTGTTTGTTTTCTCAATATTTACAATACCCACCCAGTAGACTGTGCAAAACCAACCCACTTTTACAGTATAAACTCTTCCTCTTCCACAGTGGACATCACTGCTTCAGTGTTCTTTTATGCTGAATTCTTCAGGTACAACAATTGCAATCAAAACAACATGCTGAAACTAGAAAAAGGAAAAAAAAACCATATATTTGTGCTCATGCTGCATCAAGTGTATCCAGCTCTGCTGGATAAGTATTCAAAACATCTATCCTTCAAAAATTCCATTCCATGGGACTAAATGAATTTGAGCTGATTTTGTCAGCATTTAAGTGGCAGTAGAAGTGGGTTTGGGTTCCTTGTGTATTTCTGAGGGTAGGCAGAGCAATCTATTCACAAGATAAAAATATTATATAGCAACTGTTCTTTCTCGTATCCATTACTTTAAAAAATCATGATATACAGGTATGAGGCTACTATGTTAACTGATGTTTTCTCATTAGTAAATGAAGAAAAAACAGTGTAAATTACTGATGGTTTAGGAATTAAACCAAACTGTAAAACTGTTCTAGAAATCTGTTTTAAGGCAGTGAGACAGCACCATAAGAAATGTTCCTTCTTTCACTGAAAAGGCTCAAACAAATGAAGCCCTAAAAAGCCTTTAATCAGTGTTGGTTAATAATTGGTATAAAACTGTTGTTAAGGAGTGGGCAGGTGGTTAAAAAAGACCCTTGTGGTAAAAACAACTTTATAAAATCTGTGACTCGTGTACTAAAAACTTGATGGAGCGCATCACCGTGACCATGGCAGTTAGAATTAAATTGGCACTTATCCAGCATATCACAGTCATGTTTTCTGGTGATTGCACAATACTGTTTGTGCTTTCTGAGTTACTATCATCTTTGACTCGTTTTGGAATGGGCAGTAGTGTATAACACAAACACCGCTGCCGTCCTGTGACCAGCACCATGTGGCACAACAGAGGTTACAAGAGAATTAGAAGACTGCATTGTTCATGCAGTGCCTCAGGATAAACTAAAAGAAAAAAAAAAAAAAAGGAAGTTTCACTGCAAACTTGTACAGAGAAACAGAGACAGAGAGAGAGAAACAGGAAAAGGGAAAAAAAAAATATTCCAGTTTGGCTAACACGTGTGCAATCTGCTTAGATGCCCTTGGTCTAGGGCACTTTCCAGTTGACAAATGGAGTCTCGCTTGGCTCCACAGGTATTAAAATGCCTTGAAATTAAACTAATTCAAGCTTTCCACTTCAATTTTTCTTCCTGACTTTGCAGAGTTAGGTCTCCTGCCTACCTACAACACACCATTCTGACTCAGGGACCTCGGCGTGCTGCTTTAATACTGGCAGTGGTCTTGTGGAAACAGATTTTACCATAATCCTCCACTAAGATTTGTCCCTTTCAGAGAGTTGATTCGAGGGATGAATCCAAAATGTCATCATGGTGGCTGGTGCTATCACTGTCACAGCTTTGTGCGCTCGAATAGTTGGCTGCCTCTTGAAGCCTCATTAGCATACTCATCTGAAAGAAGAAAGCAATGTTTACATAATCTCATCTCATTTAATATTGCAGTGACTGCATTAAAATTTAATTAAGCTCCCTTGCTGTATGAGGTGTGCTAGTATCTAGCTGAGGGACCATACAAAAGGATTTCAGAAAGGGCAGGGTGTCAGCGGCTCCTACTGCCACCATTTTCATTGCCTTCTGGTTTCTAAATAGAAGTTTAGAGGTCCAAAGACCCAGAAGGATACAATGGAGCTGCCTGTTAACTCTCTTTAATTGAGGGGTGAGACTGGCTGCAGCTGCAACACTGGTAGGGGAAGAAGCCATATCTCAGCTGGACATCTGGGCCCATATTTGGAGACTGTCAAGCTTGCAGATAATTTTTGGATGGTGTAGGTACACTACATTGGAAAAGCAACTGGAAACACAATCACAGTAACATACCCCCTCTACAACAGAAAGATGCGGAGGGAATGAGACAGGGGTGGACTGAGGCCAACTGCTTCATAAAAGAGTCCCATCTGCTGTCAAGGGGCTGACCTCAGCAGGGGAGCAGCAACAGATCGTCCTACCCAGGAGAGTAGAGCCCCCACTAAATTTGGGGATTACTGGTACCTGAAATCTGAATATACATATATATATATATATATACACCAACATTAAGCCCCAGAAAACTACCTGAATGCTTGAGGGCTAACTCTTGTGTAATGATCAGGATTTTATTTATAAAAAAATCACTTCTGCCAGCATGCTCAGGACTGTAAGCAATGTTGACATTGCTTTAGTGTTTGTCAAGAAACAAATACGTTGTCATTACAGAAAGCAGGCAATTAAAAACCAAAGAGGTATTCTTATCTGTTTGTGTTTTAAGCCCCCATTTCAAGTTTGCTCAGAAATCCTTACATCTCTATGGTTTTAACTTTACCTGCATGGTAAAGTTATCTTTAGGCACTGAACAGTGTTTAATACTATCAGGTAGCTTTTGCTGAAGATTTAATAGGTATCCATGCTTGTGAACTCAGGATACATGTAGTGGGTGCTCAATACAGCCTGCACATGACATGTCTGGTTTCCACAAATGCAGTGTCTGTCTCCCCATCAGCTCCACTGGAGGAAGGAGCAAGCCCTCCAGTCACAACTTTCAAGCTTCTGATATTTAGTCAGGTACAGATGCTGATCAAAACATGCAGGGACCAGGGGTGATGGGACACTGAACTCGAGCTGCCCAAGTTTTTCACCTTAGAAGAGAGTTTGCTGTGTTGGAAGCCCATCCAATACACTCACTGGCAGCCCAAATCACAGGATCAAACTATCATCTGAAAGCTTATGGACTGGGAGAGGGGTGGAAATTAGGTGACTTTCTACACATCTTCAGGATGCAAGGTCTGGTTTTTTAATATGAAACTGAAGCTAAGGAGCCATTTTCTTAGCACTGGTAAGAGTTAAAAGCATTTTCCTCTGAGAAATTATCTTTTCCAAGGACTGCCTGTATTCCAGAAATACAGTTCTCTAAAATGGGATTTTGAATTGTGATAAACGCAGTCCATAGAGGAAAACACTATCCAAGAATAGCAGTTCAACTTGTGCACTTTAATAGTCCATTATCAGAGGAGGCAATGGTAAACCCAAATGTCTGGGATTGTATTTAAATAAAACAATACATGGCAATGAGGGAAATCAACCTCTTATCATTTAATGACACCAAACTTGCATTCCTTTTACATTAAGACTGTTATACAGTCATCAGCTATCTTGAAATATTCTGAGGAATGGAAGGATGGCTGTCTAATTTCCATTTCCAGTAAATTCTATATGATTGACAAGTTAGATAATGTGAATATCTCAGTCCTTCATTTTTAGAATGTAGATGAAAGACTGTCCAATTCAGAAAGAAGTTTTTAGAATAAAACTGATTAATAAGTTGCTGAAGAGTGGTGCTCAAACATTATAATAATGAATAATATAATTATCTATTAATTAATTAATTGTAATAGTGAAGACATTTCTGGGCAGATAGGAAGTGCAAACAATGTAAGGGCATATTGGCAGGCTTATGATACCTGCCCTCCTGTTAGATTTTACTTTCATTTTCAACATTTTAATAAATTATAGTAGGAATCATTTTAAAAGCCCATTTTGTAACAGATGTACAGTAGATTTTTACTGTACAGTGAACAATTTCACACGTCACAGTAAAGCACATACTGAAAAGTCTTTTCCCAAAAGTTTGAATCTTACCAAGGGATCCCCCTCTGTATCAGTCTGTGGAACGTGCTTAGAGGTTGTTCCTTCCTTTGCTGATGCATAACCTTCATAACCAACATCTTCAGGTCTTAACTGAAGTAGTGATGGCCACTCATGCTGTTGAGATGCAGAGCTCCATGGATAGGTATCAGCTACCCACTTGGAGGGGTCCTCCCAGGGTGCCCTCTTTCCGTACATCTATGTTATGGATATGAAACAGATAAGAATTCTACAGAGTTTTCACTACTGGTTGTAACAGCAGAAAAAAAGTCATCAAAAACATCTAAACCATTTTAGAAAGGTTTTTCCTTTTAGATGTGCTCAGCACTCATGTATATAAGACATCCAGGCAACTCATCTGTACTGATGCTTCTTCAACACACAGAGTGGCTGCAAGTTGAAAAGCACTTCATAACTAGTGATACTTGTAGACAAGAGCGAGAGCCACAAGTTCTTGATACAATGTGAAATGAGACCTTCAGGTAATTTGCTTAAGGCACGTCGGTGAAATTAACTCTGACCTATCTAAAGCATTCACGTTAATTGGATTTTGTTTGAAGTGAATTACGAAGTGTCAGTACAGATTGTTCACTTCTCCTAGCAAAATGGGATGCAGAAGAATTTCACACGGGATAGATTTTTCCCTACTATGAAGCAGCAAAATGCTTACAAATGTGGAAGGATGACAGAGAAGTAAGAACGAGAATATTGTAATTTTAGGAGGTCTGGTATCCTCCTCACTAAAATGCACCCAGCTCTACACTGCTATTCACAAGCAACATGTTAACCAAGAACCCCTTTGTTGCTGCTTTAAAGATTTCCCTTGGCTGTGACAATGACACATTGGGATAGGGAGCCATTGACTACAGCTTTCTGTAATTTCTCCTGCCTCAGTCTCATGCAATCCAAGCAACAGCATATTGTCAGGGCATACACTCATGGAGGATTTAGATAGGCTGCACTCCTGAAGGGAGTAAACGTGGGAGGATTTTAGTGCTAAAGGCAGATGTGCTTATCACTGCAACACCTGCTCCCAGGGACTTGCTGAATCCATAGCTTCAGGTTAGGTAGCCAAGTTCCCTATATTATGCACAGAGATACTCAGACTCCTTCTGCCCTACACTGAGGCTAGGCTGCTACAACAGGGATCTGCCTAACTAAGCCAATAGGAAGTGTTTCTTATGGAGGTAGCAGGATAACTCCAGGTTGTAGACAGCACTTCCCTTCATCTGAGATTTTCAGAAAAGAAATCTTTTCTGGAATCTGTAGCAAGGCTTGCAAATTCCATGCCTGACAAGTGAGTTTGCAAAGTGACAGACTAGAAAGGCAGTTTCTAACAATTCCTAGTTCCAGGAACACCTAATTATATAATATATTTCTGTTTATTAATAATAATGTTATGCTATGAAAGCTATCCAAAGCAGCTAAAAATTGGTACAGTTTAAACAAACATATTTTCTTCTAAATGCTTCCATCATCTGCTCTGGAATTGAAGTTTTCATTTAAGCAGTTACCCTCTACACTTGGGAAAATATGAGCATGAAGAATATCAGTGCATTTTTATAGCTGGACTAAACAAGTGCTGTCAATCTTACTGTTGCTGTTCTATCAAATATTCGGTGGTTTTCTGCACAAGGCACAAATATTCTGTAATTCCCAGAGAAATAAGCAGTTTTAGGAATGCATGAGATATTCAACAGGCGAGATTCTAACCCTCATCACATCAGGATGTCACTGTCTCAATACAAGGTGATAAAAAAAACTGCAGCTGCTTACACAGTTCTTTGACTAGTCCATAACAATCCCCTCTGCACTGTGCAGTAATTTCTTTCAGAGTCAAGTGTGGAAAAAAAATGCCTTTCCACAAAGCATCTTTTTAGATGACACAGAATTGCCGTGCATAAACAAAAAAAAAAAAAAAAAAAAGGAAAGGGGAGAAAGCCAAATAAAGATTGGGAAAAAGATAGGAAGACAAAAGAAGGGAATAATATCAAGATTTAGGTTTGCTCCAAAGACATGGAATTGTCTGAAATCCTAATCTATCCTCTGGGATAACTCAGAGAGTTATCCTCTTGGAGGATACCTCACTGCAATTGTCCAGTACTTGAAGGGGCTTATAAAGAAGAGGTAAAGCAACTTTTTTTAATGTGGGCAGATGGTGATAAGACAAGGGGAATAGTTTTAAACTAAGTGAGGAGAGATTTAGATTAAATGTTAGGAAGAAATTCTTTACTCAGAAGGTGGTAAGGTACTGAAAAGGTTGTCCAGAGAAGTTGTGGATGTCCCATCCCTGGAGGTTTTTAAGGATGATGCTCTGAGCAACCTGATTTAATGCCCATGGCAGGGGGCTGGTAATCTTTAATGTCCGTTGCAACCCAAGCCTTTCTATGATTCTATGAAAATATCCTTGTTCACAAGCTTTGCTCCACAAGCTTGTGTATTTACATGTGTATGTAGGTGGGAGAGGATTACACAGACCAAAGCTATTTTATTGCAGCAGTGTAGGGCCTATGAACCTTTCCATGGAGGGGTAGGCTGAGACTCAGGAAGGCAATCTGAACTGTATTTAGCACTGATGTGAACTCTTTAGACAGCGGAAAAAAGCCCACCTTCTTCTAGTCACAGAGGAGAAACCCACTTCATAAAATAGAAGATATGTTGGTGCTGGAGCAGACAAAGCAAATCATACATCAGAGTAGGAGCAGATTAAAAGGAATTTGAGGCTGACTTCTATAATCCCTCCAAAGATTTTCTTCTTGCAAATGCAACAGGATTCACATCAAGATGTAATGGTTTAAAGTAGCTTGGAGAAAGCCTTATGAGAGGAATTAAAAAAATTTTCAAGGCAAAAAATGACATACCTGAAGTCCTTCTCTCACAGCTTCCAGAAGATATGGTACCAGGGAATAGTTCCACAGGTCTGTGAACCACACTCTGGAGCCATCAACATCCATAGGGCAAGGGAGGAAGAGACGGGGACCTGAGAAGTCAAACTGTGCATTAAAAAGGTGGAACTATGGAACACACACTTAAGACAATCTTCACAGAATTAAAAAAATAGTATTGGAGCAAAGTCAAGCAAAGAGAATACTAATACATGACTACAGTAAAGAAGTTATCAATCTCCTGTTATTAAAAATGAACTAGTGTCCCTTTATTCAATTTTAGGGCCCAATGAATACTTACAAGTTTTATGGAAAGCTATATAAAAGGTTGACTTCTTTGCTAACATAGTTATTCCATTAAAAGACATCAGGTCCAAGGTTTTTTATTGCTGTAATTATAATGCAATGTGAAAGCAGGAGCAAAAATTAAGCTTAGGAAAGTTGCTATTGAGGTAATTTAAAAAAAAAAATCTTTAAAAATTGTAATAGTTTACTTGAAAGTCTTTGACAATCAAGGAAGAAATATCAAGAAATACAAACCCTCTCATTAAAGTTCCTTATTTCAGTTTTGCTGGCAACTAGACAAATTCTCCACACCAATGATGTACTTCCCATTGAGAGATGACAACTTTTAAAAAAACAATATATCCTTCCCAAATCCCTAAAATGTTTGGTCTGCATACTTATTTGCAACCATTCCACCAGTGGACTCACCAATGGTTACATCTGAAGAGCTGTGTGTTTCTAGGAAGCTGTTGAGATGATGCCATGTTTTGGGAATCCAGTCAATGATTTTCATGAGCTCATTATTGCGTATGTTCTTTTCTATTTCAGTTTCAATCAGTTTCCTTCTCAAATATCTGCCTAAGAAACCTTTAACAGGCTCTGTGTGATTAGCACACAGCACCCACCTGGGTAGAAGAGATAAATGTCAAGCAGCGATAAGTAGCAAATACATTATTTCCTCTTAAACATATAGATGAAAGTAATGTCACAAGCTTCTAAGTCTCATTAGTCAGCAAGTATAAAACTGCTCCAATAAACCTCATTATTGTTCACTACTTCAACACAGCCATTTCAGGTTCCTGCAGGAATTCAAGACACTGCTGAAGACAAATGAAATGCAGGAATGCAATTATCTTCAGCAACTTGCTAGAGGTGCCAGACAGTATCTTATTTCTTTCACCATTCCCCAACACCATTCAGAGACCCATCAACAGAGGAGAGACATTGAAACTAAAATACTTTGCTGTGATGAGACACAAGATCAATATTGATCAAAGAAGGGCTTAGAAGCAGGGAGCTGTGCAAACATGGCCACAGTAAATACAGAGTGAATATACCTGAAATTGTGATGCAGCTCCAGATTTGGTGAAGAAGAAACTCCCTGGTTCATGGTTCCAATAATATAGGGACTGAAAAGAGAAAAGCAGTAGGATTTTTTTTGAGGGAAAATCCATTCAAATATTTGAGAATATTCATTCTTTTTATCTGCACTAGGCCAATTTCAAGAGAGTCTCTGGATGCATTGTAGACTAAGATTTAAAATATTTCTGAGGTGCCCTTTTAAAAATGTTTATTCCTGTATGATTTTCCTCTCTGCACATTTTCAGTTTCCTAGCATTCATCCATAATAAAGAAATAAATCAAGCAAACATGTCTTAACTTTGCAGTAGACCTAACGTTTTAATTTCAGAAGCCAGTGAATCTCATGAGTAAGATATTGCACGCCTTGATTTTATGAAGGGAAGTCCCTATGATGGCACTTTTACAGCAGAAATAACCAATGTTGTAGGCCAGTAAAAGTTCCAGAAAACATTATTTTTACTCTTGCTTGAGAATAAAGGAGTCAGCAAACTCCGTACTTCTGCACAGCTATAAACCATCGGAAGGGCAAGTCTGCTAGATATACAGCTGCTTCTGCATGGTATGGTTTATCCCAAATTCCACTATTACAAAGTGTAATTCTTCTTATTCTACTATAAGATGTCCTCATGGTACTAATGAGCTTGTTTAACCTGACAGGGTGCAAAGGGTAAGTCAAGTGCTTAAGTACATACTTAAATTTTGTGGCACATTTACATCTCACTGAGAAGCACAGGAGTCATGTAAATGAAGTGAAGCAGACAACTAAGTACTTTGCTGAAGGGGGTTAAAATTACTGAAGCATATAAGGGCCTTGCAGACAGCCTATGGGAGTCCTAAGTTTCCAATGGAACATTTAATTTTGCAAAATAACAAAGAGCTTCTTCTGTTTTAGTTGCAAAATGGAAAGGAGAGAGAAGAGCTACTACCTACCATTTATTATATTTACAGTTGAGGAAACCATTGAAGATGTCACTTAGTGAACCGATGTGGTGGAGGTTATCAAGAATTATGACGACAGGAAGGTCAGCACCATTGTTGTCTGCACTGCATTGCTCAGCTAGGTTTGCTAGGTATTGTCGCAGATCCTTCAGCAGAATTAACAAACAACCAAACAAACACAGAAACAAAACAAAACACCCAGAAAACATTAATCTGATTCGACCACAGATGTAATTTCAGTAGGGGAAAAAAAATACAGAAAGATAAAATGACTGCTAAAGAGTTTCCCTTCTGTGGATTATTTAGCTGGATCTGCACATGCAGGAAGACACGCTGCTTAGACAGGGCAACACTGAAACCACATGCTAGGTAAAAAAAAAGGTACTAAACATAAGGTGAATGACTGAAGCATTCTGAGTTAGTGGATACATTTCTTAGAAATTTCCTGATAAAATATCTCCAGAGGAAAATAAGTTGCAATAAATATGTCATTTGCAATGGGCTGAGATACAATAATTTTTGGACCTTCGTTCTTAAGAATGTCACATTTATATACTGAAAAAAACCCACCGAACTATCACATAATCTAGGTGTATTGAACTGCTCCTTCAGATATCTACTTTCACCACTCCCACTGAAAATCTGCCTGCCCTTTTGGGAATGCTATATCACACACCAGTATAAAATTTGTTACATAAATTCTTTTTTCCTGTCAACTGTCTGGCTGCTGTTTAGAGCTGGAGGAAAAGAGAGGGTTTTATAATCAAAACATTTAATATTTTTGTCAACACTTTCTTGCCCTTGAAGATCTGGGCTAGTTGAATTTTACAGCTGTATCTCTAGAGGTATTTAATTTTGTCAGGGTTGGAAATACTCAGTATTATGGACAGAGTTCCTACTGTCATTTTACTTTCTCGATCAGGGATAGCAGAATCTTTTCTTCTTTAATGGGAACATGCAATCCTTTTTTATTTCAAGGAAGTTTTTTCTTTGCCTTTTTATGATCGGGTGTCTCTAGGGGAACATTATGGGTTTCTTCATGGAGTGGCACCATCTGTATTATTCAAACACACTTGGTATTTGAAAATGTTGCTTTTTTCTTTTTCTTCTTCTTTTTTTTTTTTTAAATTAGAAAATCAACAGTTCTTTATAAATCTGGATAGAAACAAAGGAAAAGCGGGGGAGGAGGGGCTAAATCAAACCAAAAAAACAACAGCCAAACTCCAAAACACATAGACCAAGCCCTTTACCAGAAATTCAAAAGCTTGCTCTTTTGTGGGACAATTTTCATTATAGATGTATATGGTATAACAATAAAGCATAAACACTTCCCCTGCCAAAGTAAATGGCATCACAAATCCTCTGTATAAAGACAGTGAGAAATGCTTATTTTTACTGGAATGGTCCTCTTGCCCCTTTGGGATCTGTATATTCTTTCTTCTTACATTATGTTAGCATTCATTATGTTCTGTGCAAATCAGAAAGCTCTTGTCAAACCCCTTCATTTTCTTTTCCCTGGGTACCAAGTCATGAGTATACTCAATTCAGGACAGCAAGTGAATAGTATTATCTGTGGCTAGCACAGTAGTCATGCTAGAAGCCTGATATTCTAAGCTATGTAAATCACTGTGAATGTGACATGAAGTGTAAGGCAATTTTAGTATGGTCAGCTTCCTGATAGAAACCACGACGGTTGTATTCATTCAGTGCTGATTAAGAAGCTGAACCCGAGACAGTAATTCAAAATCCCCATTTTGAAATCTTTGCTAACAAAGGCTGATGTTATCTTCACGAAAAAGCAAGTTACGCTAGTATTACTATATATCAAACCTTCTGACGAAGGAATTAGACACTCCAAAAATTTAATTTATATTAAATTAGTAGCAATTTGATTCTGCACCTAAACCCTAAAGGGGGTTTCCTCAAGAGAGGGAAAATTGAGACTTCCTTTGCAGAGCTTCAAAGGTTTGTTTAGAACAGAAAGATGTGGCCCTTGTACATCAGTGGGACTGGAAATTCTTGAAGAAAAAGTGGTAACTGAGAAGCAAAGGAGTACACCAATTATTAGAATCCGCTCTTCATCGTCACTACAAATTGGGCAATAGATTATCTTTGTGACTGTAACTTACCTTGCTTGACTTGTGATCTACATTAAAAGTTGCAATTGCATCCTCAGTTTTTTTCCTGCCAGATTTGGTTATAACATATTCAGCCATCCTGTTAGCTAAATAGGTCTTTCCTGTGCCACTGGGTCCCGACAGAATAATTCTGCGATGCTCCATCAGTAAATTAAAGTACCGTTGGGTAATTGGCTTAGGAATTAATGTGTCAAACACAAAACTGTCCAAACTGTTTTCTTCCACTCCTGGGAACAAAAGATAAGAAAAATGGTCTGTCTTCATCCTTGCTAAGCTAGGTATTTGGCCTGGCACCTGATGGCATCAGTGCTATGCTGAAAGCAAGGTAAGATACTTCTGCCTAAATCAAATCCCTTTCAAGGACTTCTACTTACTGTGGAAATACTGACATCCTTCCACAAAACCAAAAAATTAAACAGCAGTAGTGAGATGAGATGAGATGAGATGAGTGGAAGAGATGAAATCAAAGTAAATGTAAAGCAAAGGCTCAGTGAGGCTTCAGACACTACAGGCAGCCATGACAAAGAAAAGGTCAAAGTGACAGCTACAAGGGTTATCAGTTGTCACATCAGTGTATGTAAAGGTCTTCTGAACGCCCCCGCTTCCCTCCAATAGCAAATCCCTAGAGCTTTTGAAATGTATGGAATTTTTCCTGTGGCGATGGATAAGACAAATATTTCTCATCATAATCTCTGTTTTGGGTTTAGTTTTTTTGCCACTATTTAGAAATCTGTACTTTGTTGTGATTTGGCAGGGAGGAAGGGAAGGACAGAGATATTCTTAGATTTCCCTCAAAAGGCCACACTGCGTTAGGCATTATACAATATCTTACAGAGAGTTTATGTGGAACTGGAGACAAAATACAGAAAAGTGAAGTGTAAGAAAAATAATTATGAAAGGATGGGGAACTGCAGTGAAGAATTCTACAGTATCTACAAAAATATTCTTGAGGTTTTACCTTTCAGGTTCACAGTGATGATGTTATTATCTCCAACCAGATATCCACAAGGCAGCAGTTCAGGCACTTCTAGGCTATGGGCTCTAATTACATCCCCTATACAATAGCTAGCAATGCAATCAGAGTTTAAACCCAGGCTAGTAGTTGGATCCACTCGGAAAATATATTCCTGAAATTATATGAAAATATAAGACATAAAAATGTTTTTCAAATGAAAGTAGTTTGGAAAATTGCCTACAGACATAAAAAAAGAAAAGCAACATTAAGAATGAAGCTTAATAGTGGTGTTAGCAATACATAAAAAAACCAAACCAAAGACCTGACAAGACAACCCAAAGAATACAGAAATTTTCTAAAGTCAAAAATGAAATAGTAATAATACTTAAACTAATTTTTCAGTGTCTTACCTTAAAGAGACGTCTGATTACACCATCTAAAACATCCCATTTTGTTTTCCCACTGACTCCAATTGATCCTATTAGGTATGCATGTGGTTTTTGATCCTGCAAAGAGAGATTTTTGGAAACTGGACTAAAAATTGGGCTAGTTAGTTTTCTATGAAGATTCATAGCTTTCCTAACAAAGAAAAATAATATTATTTAGAATGTGATTTTGCTAATAATCTCTGTTCCAGAAATAGGTATACATACTTCGGTACATCTTCATAAAGAAGAAAATACAATATCTTATTCCATTGTTTGATTCTGCTTGTGTTTTTACAGAGATGAATATAAATAAATGTTGCACATTTATAATATTTTGTAACACACAGAACATGAAAACATGACAATGCAATTCCAAATTGATAACCTCAGCAGCATATTCATAGTTGCACAGAAAGGGGTCCAAGGCATAGATCTAATTTATAATGACTTTTAAATGTGGATAGTAAGCCCCAGAACATCATACTACTAATTAAACTGATAATTGGTATTGTCTAAGCTACCAAAAAAAGGCAGAAAGAGGCCATAGGACATTAGTCTACAGAGAATGCCTAACTGTATTGAACATGGAGGATAGGGAAGAGAGATGTTATCTTTAGGATATTTCCCTTCAATTTAAGCTCAGTTCCTGAGCTTAAAATAATGAAAAAAAGTTGAGCTACTATATTCCAGCATATGCTTGAGCTATAATTTTGCATCTAGACCTTTGGGTAATGCACTTACCTTGGCTCGACTGTAGCCCTTGTTTATAGTGACTAAAATTTTCACACTGTGACCTTCTTTGTTGAGTGTTCCATCAGTGACATCATCCAACAAAATATCTACATTAAAAGAAGGGAACTGGTCAGTCTGAAAAATGACATCAGTTATGTCCACATCATCAGTTCAATATTTGTCCAAAGGATTTTTTGGTTAAAAAGAAAGAATGCCATGACAACAACTTGCAATCATCTTAATTTGTACTTATTACTAATTTACCATTTCTGTTGGAGATGAGAAAACCATTACAAGTTGTCAATTTTTGAAGGAATATTAGGAATTCTAATCACATAGAAATAAAGAGGGAAATAAATAAAAACTTACATTATAGTCTTGTCTTTGCTTTCCTTCTTGGAACTTTTTCAAAATTACCATATGTTCACAAAGTAATATTTAAAAACTAAATGAAGTTTATGTCTTTGGGCACTCATTGTGCCCTTTAAAATGTTGTAAGGAGAGAAAACAAGAAATCCTTGCATTGATATGTTTGCTGTTAAATAAAATAGCATGTAATTTCTCTTTCTGATGATATCTTTACCTTAAGTACATATGGCATGGATAGAGTCTTTTTTACCTCCAAAAACAGGCTTACACACAGTATCCATTACTAAACCTCTTTGGATGCCTCCAGAATATGGGACTCTGTATTTAGCCATTCCACTAAGGAAAGGCTTCATTTTTCTTGGAGGTAAAGAGTGATTTTGATCTGCTCTGCACCTCTGTTTCTACGTCTTCACTAACTCCTAAAATGAGAAAGCAGAAGTGTGTATCTTTACATATTTTTTACTAAAAGTTGAGCCTGCAGCTTTATTGCAAGTAATAAAACTGCTCCCTTACTCTAGAAGTTCTCTCAGGGATTTTACTGTTAGACATTTTAAGCTAACTATCAAATTAGGAGAGATTATGGATTTGCATTTTCTTCAAAGGTCAGCACAGTAATCCACTACCCTAAATCCTGCTCATTCTTATTGTGGTGATTGAAGAAAATCATTGACTTCATGACATAATCTGCACAAGGTCAGATTTCATCCAAATTAAATGTGGTGCCAGTAAGATTCAGCTGCTTGTTCAAAGGAAAACCAAAGAAGACTTATGGAGATGATTTCAATGAATATATTAAAAATAACTTTTCATGTAAAAAGTTTGGTAACTTACACCCAGATTCTGCATGGTTTTTATTTTTTAAGTTAGTCAAATGAAGAGGCCATTTTTTTTGTGAGCTTAAATAAATTCATGCTTGCTTTTTTCCAGGCAGACAGTTTTTCTGTGCCACCAATACTAAATATTTCACTTCAATTGTCTTGTGTTTTGGCATATTTCACAAGCCTTAAAAATTTTGATAATTGTCTGAGGGCAATTTACGATATAACTGATCCCCCTCTGAAATTTTTCAATCTCTAAATGACCCTTATGTAACCTTTAAATACATTCTTCTCTAAGTCTTTAGGAATGAGAAATCACTCTGTGGCTAGAGAAAAAAATCCACTTTTTAAGAACTCTCACTCACACAAGGGCCTGAGAAGATGCCCAAGACGCTCTAATTGTACCAACTGTTTTAATTAGCCCCTGCCAGGTCTCCTTAGGCACACTATGGTGACTGCAGTTCATTTCTTGTCTGAACTCTAGTACTCTGGACCAGTCTTGTACTAGTCCTTGTTTGCTGCTCTTACTCCAGTGATTTACTGAAATTAGCCTCTCCAGATCTCATGGAATTCTGTTCAGTAGTACTCCAGCTGTCACAGATATTTCACAAAACTTGTAGAAAGCTGTCACCTTTCCAAATTCTTTGGTATAGCAACAAAATGATAATCATGATGATCAAAAATTCTGGATTCATAATCAAATTAAATTCTCCACTTCTCATTAGGCACCTTTATTTCTCTAATTTCTTATAACCAAAAGTAATTACTTCACATGCTATGAAAACATTTAGAACAATAACATAGAAAATTATGTAAAGCTTATGGAAAAATGGAATCATTTATGCTGAAAAGGACCCTTAAGATCACTGAGTCCAACTGCTTCTCCCAGTCATCTTCTTTTTCCTGTTCCTTCTCCTGTTCCTTTTTCCCCTTTTCCACTTCCCCTTCCTCTTTTTCTTCCAGTTTTTACTTTTTCTACTCTTATTCTAAACACTTCTCCCTGATTTTCATCTTCATTCTTTATCTTGTCTTTCACCTTCCCTTTTTCTTCCCCCATTCCTCTTTACCCATCGTATTCTCACCCAGTTCCTCCTCCTCTTTTCCAAACTCCTCCCTCTCTTCTTCCTACATGTTTATTCCTGTATCTAGACAGAGTTAGTACCAAGTGGCAAAGTCCTAATGGCTACTACTGACGAAAGACATTCTACAATCACCATATTGAAAAAAATTCTGTTCTGGGTTGTTTCTGTTTTTTTGTTTTTTTAATGTATGTGGATCTGTGAGCAGGAGCCACAGTTAATTTTTTCCTCCCTGCTTTTTGCAACACTTCATTGTATGTCGAGGGCCAGTTCAGGCTCCTCCATGCTAAAAGTTAAACCTTGCAAAAAGCTGGAGTGTAAACAAAAAACATACCAATTTTCATTAAAAATATGATATTAACAAGAAAAAAATGCTCAACTATCTGTGGAATCAATGACTGGCAAGATAATATGACTAACTGCCAATCCAAATTATAGTCAGTCAGTTTGGCATGTTCCCAGCTGTACTGTTGCCTAGACTCTTTCTACAGTTATTAGCCATATTTTTATTGCTTTCAGAGACTGCATTATACCTTCTGTGGCTTCTATGCTAATGAGTGCTGCTTTGCTCTTGCTCTGCTCCTGGTTCTAATGTTAGAGACAGCACTTCTGTCTCTTGGCTACATTATCAAAACAAGCATAGAAGTCTTATTATCATAAACTCCATGGCATGAAAAATAATCAAATGCTAATGTTCAGGATGTGGACCAAAGTTCTGCTTGCTTTCTCTCATTCACTGAAGACAATGAGAGCGCCTAATAAGGCGAGTGGGGTTTGGCTTCTGGGATAAATGGGGATTTGGTCCTGTACAGGCTAACTAGCTATACCAAACTAAAAAAACATAAGGGATAAATGTGACTGAGACCACCTTCTGCCTCAGCTGCAAATATGAAGTGAAGGGAGCTAACTGAATGATCAAAGATCTGTAAGCCAAAAGAAAAGCTTCACATACTCATTTATCCCATAGGGGCAAGAGAATATATCTATACAGTTGTCAAGCATACTTCAACAGATATTCCTTTCCAAAAAATTGTAAATTAGATGACTAAAGAGTACTGTAAACTTGGTAAGTACAGAGTATAATATCTAGGAACTAAGCAAACATAAGGAACAGTCTGTTACTAATATTCAGAGGCTTCTAAAAGCTACATTTTTAAGACATGACCACCAGCATTCTTCCTTATCTTCATTACTGTATGTATATCTGATGTTAACCTGAGGGATATGAGGCATTTTAATTTTCAGGCATGCTTCTCAGATATGGCTCATTTAGAGGGTGAAAGGAATAAATTTTTACTAATTGCTGAGGCATGTATGTGCTTCAAGTATGTACCTGATGTGACAGATTCTGTGATGTTTAAATTGTTCAAAGAAAGTCCTAGTGACTGCCGTGATGAAGAAGATGATGTGCTGCTTGATGACCCCGATGATGGCCGGGTAGGCTTTCCAGTATTTCCAGTCTCTGCTTTTAAACGATCATTTTCAGCTTTCAATACCTCAATTTCATTCTATATACAAAAGAAATCAAGATAAAAGTACAGTAGGTTATTCTTTCTGAAAAGCACTGAAGGTAGTATACTGGTGATGCTGTTCCCCTGAAGTAGCTAACTTACTAGTAAGTTTACTACTTACTTCTTAAATGAAGGGAAACCCCCTGATAACCTTGTTTCAGCTTTTGCCTCAAGATGGTTACTAAAAACATAAGCTTCAAGCTGCTATGTTTATTGTACACTTGACCATAATTTGAGTGTGGTGAAAATTTTCCCAGCTATCCCCACTTTTTAAAGCTACTTTCTATTGTCAAACACCTTAGGGAACAGTCAGCTAAGAAAGCTACTGGATATGTCAATGTTTCTAAAGTCACAGAAAATTATTACTGCCATTGAATGTAAAATTTAAGCAGTAACTTCACAGAAAAATTAAATTAAAAATGGACAGAATGGACAGCTAGAATTTGATAGTTAACAACTTCATAACCCTTCTTGCTATCAGATAAGACTTTCTGATCATTCAAACGTGGGATTGTTCACATAACAGAGAGCAAACTCTGATGAAAACATACAGTGACAGATGAATCAGAACAACTGGGATTTTTTTAGCTAAATCCTCTGTGGTGCCAAGTGATTATTGAATGTACAATAAAAAAATGAAAACAGCCTGAGAACTCCCTAGTTAAATCTAGCTTTCAGTCACTTCATGAAGCACAGTATAAAGCAACTGCTTATTCTTGTAGATGGTTTTGCACACCAAATTTAATTCCATATTCACTAACATCCTGTTAAAAGTCTTATTTTTTTTTATGGAGGCTGCACAGCTACATTATACAAGTAAAAACATAAGGGATAGCATTACAAAAAAAAACCCTGCAGCAGCTACAAAAAGATTAGATGACATACACAAAGGTGAGGAGATAGTGAAAGGGAAGGAATAAGCCAATAAAATAGGGACAGAAGGTAATCAATGAGTGCACTAGTTTAGCCTGGGGTTCAAATCGGGAGCTGTGGTGAAATGAGTCATGCAATCTCCAGCTACTCTGCAGTTTACGCTGATTAATTGCATAGCTCTTAGCAGTCTTCCACTTACATGAGCTTTTGCTTTTTATGGTGCTTTTAATATATAAGTATTCATATATCATTCTCACCAGTCCTACTTTTTCCCCTTACCAGTATTTGTCAATTCTCAAAAATATCAAGAGTTTGCCAACTGCAAGGTGGTTGCCTGTCCTTTTGGGAAAACTCGAGACAAAGTGGTGATTACCAGCAACAGCATCTCAACTAGTTGCCTCTGCCCAGATTTGATGAAGTTCAGACTTTGGAGGCCTGTTACTATAGCAGACTCCTGACTCTGAGGAGTTCACCTGTTTCAGGCACTCATATCCTAGTATAAGTCTGTAATCACGATAAGCATTCACATCCTTTTCTCCACCATTGCAATTAACTGTATTCTATTTCGTAGAGTTCCTCGGAACTTTTAGTGGCTCAAGGTCAGGTATTTTACTTATGTCTGGACAATTGAAACCATATTTATGGAGTAGTTCTTGGTAATTCTTCCCCCTAATTGAAGTTCAGCCAAATATCCCACAGCAATATTGGCACCTAGTGCTGTGAACATCTGGGAGGGCGGCAGGTACTACAGATGTTTAAAGGCGTGGCTGAGACTGCTATAGACATGGTATAAAAAAAGAGGTCTAGAAAAGACAGCAAACCACACCAATTCTATAGTTATAAAATCAGCTGCTTTGCACATCTATACAGAAGTGCCTAAAGGCACACCTGACCTAAGCACCCAGCAAGAGCAATTCAGCTGACAAGCCACTGAGCTGGATTCAGCTGTGTAAATGTGGGCTTCCAGTGACATGACATGGTCTTCCATGGGTAGAATGCTAAACCCACATGTCCTGGGAAGATGTAAATACTTGAGGCTGGTTTGAATGGGAACAAATATATATGCTCAAACCACTCAGTTTCACCCTCTGTAACTATCTTAGGATGATTTTAGGATAGGTGTTTAGCCCCTACTACTACAGGACTAAAACTCAATTGACTATAACTGGAGTTTTTCACCTAGGTCATACCTAGACTTCTAAATGTATCTGTCCTCATCTCAACTGAATTCCCAACCCATGGTCTTGATTTTGTTTCCCAAATGCAGATTTATTGTGCCTTCAGGGATGACGTAGGTATCTCACCTGTCATTTCAGAAGGGCCCAGTTCTGCTGAAGGACCTATGTCATACTGTGTGGATACTGTAGATACTTTTGGGGACCCACCATGATACTAGACATTTGTATATGAGTGACAGAGTCAAATCCCATGAAACTCTGTGCTCCACTGAAGAACACTTCCATTCTTTTTGTAGCCTTTCAGCCTCACGAAAGGGGAAGTATTCTGATGTAAAATGCATTCAGGAAAGATTAGGAGCAGCGTCACAACATAATGTAGCAAAATTTTATGATGCTGGATACAGTAATTAGTTCAATTTTACATTCTCTGCTTTAGGAAGCCACAGCTGGGTTAGGAATCAGAAATGATAAGAGAGTGTGAATATACACTCTTGCCCTTCCATGGCTCAAGGATTTAAAGCTCTGTAGAAATCACTTTTGATCTGCTTGTCTGTCATGTTGCTTACCCCAGTCATAGGGTTTAGATAATAAATATCCTTTGGGCAGGGATTATATCTTCTTCCATATCTCTTAAACACATTTTAGCTATTAGTATAAATGCTAAGAATATCTTTATTATAAGGTGAACGTTTATCATACTCATCCTTCAGATGTACTGCCAACCTAGCAATTTACTTTGTATCAACAGTTTTTTGGCAACTGGACCAAAGTACTAGGAAAGGAAATACACCTAGCCTACCTTTGGTGTGCACCTCTGTCATCACTTAAGCTACTGCACTGACCTGCATGCGGTTCATAGCTTCCCGAATCTGATCCAGATGGTGTGCAGAGCTGAGGGCTTCAAGACGAATATCCGTTAATTTTAGCTCCTTCTCCCTCAGCTCACTTTTTAGCTGAAGAATAATTTCAGCCTCTGCCTCTGTGCACTCACAGATCCTAAAGAGGAGTAGGAAACAGGAGGGAGATTAAAGGAAGGTTCTCTCCCCAAAGCAGCATCATTACTAAATATCAAAGTACAGAAAAATTCTTGCTGCCGGTGAAACCTATGAGTGAAGAAAGAAACTTATCAAAGAAATATGAGAAGGTTCAAACTGAAAATTAAAAAAGGAAAGAAGCCCTCTCAATATGAAATGATCACCTTGCTTTATAGCTCTCTAGTTTAGTTTACTCTGGTGAAAACCAAATTCTTAACTACTTTTCAGATATGTGTATTTGAGTGTGCCTCACCCATTGGCTTTAATTTGATTTTATATTTGTGCAATTTCTTTGGTGCAAATTTTATGGTTCCTCTAAGTAACAAAAGTCAGACCTGAAGTATGCTGATTAAGTTGTACTACTGATACATTTGTTAAGCATCAGTAGTTTTCTCTGCTTTGAACAGTACACAGAGGGACAGTCCTTGACTTCATGGTCTAGAAGATTTTTATCTGTAATGGTTTCGACTTGTGATGGCTGATGTTTTGCCTATAGTCTGTCATTTTTTAATGTATGATATATGAAATCATGTAGGTTGGTTTTGCCTTTATTTTTTTTTCCTTAAAGACTGGGTTAAAAATAATTACCACGTAGTTATTTTTCATGAGCATTAATTTTAAGGAAAGGATTGATTATACTGTGAGAAAAGATTGAAGTGTGACTAGTCCTATGGACCCACAACTGTCCAGTTCTCATGACAGACTGTTTTGTCTCTTTGTATCATCAACAAAACCACCAGCAGAAAATAAATCACTGAATTTTGGCTACATTGTTATACTAAGTAGTATTTCCAGTCAGCTCAATAAACATTATTTGTTCTTTATTACTGTCACTATAAACAGTTAATATTTGCAGACCAATTTCAATATGAAAAATATTTTATAAAAATAAGTATTATTATTGTAATTAGTACTGCTAATATACCAAACGAGGAACAAAAGCCAACATTTAATTGCCAGAATGCATGCAAAGGCATTTTGGGAAAGAAGATGCAGCACTCTTCAGGTAAGCAATTGGGTATACAGCTCCATGCCTCACACTCAATTTTAATGGGATCTGTGCTTGTAGACCACATGACCATTTTGCTTTTTCTTTGATGCCCAGACTAGGGATGAGTCAGGACTGAAGATGAGACTCAGGTTGAGAAAATATATAAAGAAATTGTACGCAAAGGGAAGATGAAGAAGTTCATGGCAAAAAAAAGTCACACAGAAGAAGAAAAATCATGAATATAATTCACAACATGCACAAATACTTTAAATGTGAGTAAAATGAAAAAAGACATATAATAGGATTTTTGTCCTGATAATTATCATATAGTTCTTGCTTTGATGTGCCATTACTTACCTATGCTAATCAAATAGGAAATGAAATTTTATTTCCATGCATAACTTATCTCATACAACAACTTGCACAACTGGAAAGTCATCTCTTTTTTGGCTATTTTTTGTTTTGTTTGGTTTGGTTTGGTTTTTTGTTTGTTTGTTTTGGTTTTTTTTTTTTTTTTTTATGTATATCTTGGGAAGGTACAGGGAAAAAGGTCTTGGCAAGCCTGCTTTAAAGAATACAAAAATGAAGCAGAGAGAAGGGCTACGGTTCTGGAATAAGCAGGAAAAAGCTGTCTCAGTTCTTAAGGTAAGCAGATGGAAGCAGAAAGTATGAACTTAATTTTCTTTTGCAGTTTTCCAGAACTAACTAAAATTACACAAGAAGATGAGACCTCATCAGAAGGAACCAAAACAAAAAAGATAAGTCAGCATTCCTGAGCAGTCACAGAAAGAAGCTCAGAAGTCTGATCAGACTCCAAAGGTTCAAAGTAGTTAGAAAGACTTTTACTTTTTCCTTCTTGTTGCAATCTCTGAATTTTTAAATGAATAGGTTGCTTTAGGCTGAAGAAATAAGTAAGTCATGATCTTTGAACAGAGGCTACAGACAATTATGAAAAGTCTCAAAGAAGACAGGAATTTAAATTATGCAATGAAAAACCAAGTCTTCCAAATCAAATTACATTATCCATATAACAGACTAAAGAAATTAATCTAAATAAATAAATTTTACGCAATGTCTCTGTTATTCTGTGTGGGAAGGTCACAATAATAAAAAAAATGTGATAATATGATTAGAAAGATCACTGTTTAAAAATATTATGGAGGAAGAACCAGAAGGCTGTGAACCTGACAAAATTTAGGAATTTAAGGCTCAGAGATGTAACAGCCATGGAAAAGGCTTGGGTTAAAAGACTAGATGTGTGGGTTTGCCCTCAATAAATTCTGGGAACTATAGCACATCTAGAGAGCAAGTCAAAGACACAAAGGAAAAAAAGCAGAGTTGGTGGAAAGGAGACAGAATAAAGTTATGAGATTAGATCTGTGAATCATGAGTAATAATTTTGCAGAATAAAAGGGTTTTGTTTAAGTTCAGCCATTTGCTAGTAATGCTTTTACTTTTCACTATTAGGGTGACTCTTAAGTTGATAGTAAGTCAAACATTAGGGTCCCAAACACGTAGAAATCCTCCTCCCAAAACACACATATACCTGAAACCATAAAAATATGAGCTTCGTATAAAATAATTGAACAAAACTACAGAGATCTAGATGAGTTCTTTCTTTCTAGTCTGCCACACAATCTAAGAGAAGGAAAATATTTATTCTGAAAGGGTTTATTTTGTGGGAATATTTGCTGTCAAACTCCTAAACTTAGTATATAAAAATCACTCGTCTATAAGAACTTAATCATAAAAGGCACATAATCTGACACGGAGTAATTTTATTATAATGCTCAGTAATCAGTCACAGGATTAGAATTCCTTGAGTGCCTTAAGGAAGGGTAATTGTGACCTGATTATTCTCAGTTAGGACAAGGAAAGTAAGGCTGGCATCAGTAGTATGTATTTTTTTGAAAAGAGTTTAATCTCCCCAAATTATAAATAGCTATGAGTTTAGCAGAATGGAAAAAAAATAGCAGAAGAATATAGATGAGAGCTGAGAACTCTGTAAGAAGAATGTATCAGATATTCAAAAAATAACGAAGAAATGGGACAGCTGTTGATTGATGACTCGTTTCCAGACCTGAAACATTAAGGGTGGTAATTTGAATAAAATATAAAAGTATAGTCCCATGAAAAATCCAAGCTGAAAAAAGAAAGGAAAGAGATTAAAAATTATATACATTACTAGCTGCAAAGTAGATAAAGTAATAACAGGAGGGATGATTACAACGTAATAATTCACAGCTACATGAAAAAAAAAAAAGATATTTTTTGTATATCATGAAAAAAGGAAACTACTACTTGGCCTTTATCAAGTGGATATGATAAAGCTGATCCCAGGAGACAGCACAACAAAAACTTCTGGAAATGGATCGGAATGAAGTTTGTACAGCAAGGTGATTTGGGGTAAGGTCTATGAAAGGAGGAGAGAATGACCTAGTAAAGAACTGCTGGAGGAGTAGTGTGTAAATGGTGTGAAGCTCACAAGAAATCTGGCAAATAGATGGACCTCAAGATTAAAACCTCACAGTGCTGGCAATGGTTTCTGGACTGCAAATGCCCACACTGGAGGGGGTCTGTTTCACAGCTCATCCCCTTTGGGAAGAAGGGTTTATCAAGAGAGACACTTACGCAGATGCTGACTGGGATGGTTTCATTGACGTTGCCCCACATTCTCCTGAGCTGTGGGGCAATTTAGGTGAGGAAGGAAGGGAGGAGTCTGTCAGCTCTTCAATGTCCGAATGTGAGGAAGGAGGTTTGGTGGACTTCTTCTTTCCAAAGGCCTGTTTGAAAGAGCTTCTTAGCTGGAAAAGAAACACAGAGCAAGATAATTTTCCTCATCACAGCACTTTGTGTGTAGTTCATGTTTTGAAAAGTTAGTTTGCAGATGCCACCCTAGCCACTGCCTGAGGTCAGTATGCAGAAGCAAGGTATTAACATATGCAACACAGTATCTCTAGAAACATGATACAGTGTTTTGTTTTGACTTTATTAATGCGGCAGAGTGCAAAAGTAATGCTATGGAAAAAGTGCAGGATCGAGTGGTATGATTGTGGGGGAGGGGTGCTCATTTAAAGTCATTAAGCCCCGGTGGAATCCCATTCTCATGGCATTCCCTTCAAGGGATGGCTTTAAATAACCACTTTGCATCTAGGTGCAGGTAGAACCTGCTGTTACCAAATGTGGAAATCAAAAAATAAGTCCAATTTACTGGGTTTGCCAATTTACTTTCACCATTAAAACTTTGAATGGCCAAACTATGAAAATGCTATGGTTTGGATTGCAAGTGAGAGGATTTAAGCTGGGACATGAGGTTTGCTCTGTTGTACTGCTGAGAAGAATGTTAGCTGAAAGGTATATACTATTTGTTGCAGTTTCCTTTAGAGTGGTAAGACCTCTGAACATACAAGCATTGCCTTTTCCCTCTAGAAGCTCTTATCCAGTATTGAAAAGGGACAGAATAGCCAAAGAGCCATTTATTTCAGGAGCCAGATGACAACAGGTTTGCGTGCAGTGAATTTTAAGTAGCCCATTTACTGATATCTTTACCTAAATAAAAAAGTTGTTCATCTTAGGAAAAATGTGGGTGTTGTTTTTTATTTTCAGAAAGTTGTTTTGATTAAAATTGTATAGAACTCAATGGCCAACTGATTCCTCTAGAAAAAATTAGGTATTCAAACACATCATTTTTGTGGTATAATTGGAGGGTGGGGAGTGTGACCACCAATCATAATGAGAAACAAACCCTTTCCAGCTCATGATATCTCATAAGAAAGAAATGGGTTTTGGCTACATTCTCCCTTTCTATAGCCTAAACTTTGAGATTAAAATTAATAGAAACAAACTGAGAAGACATACAGGATAATCTGGTTTTAGAAGGTGTAAAAGCCTACTGCCAAAATAAATAGCAATCATGCCAAGATAGGGTTTTTTTATAGATGCATGCCAACTTTTCCATGGTTTATATTCACCTCACTTCCTTTAGAGTTCACCTTGCAGAAACATGAAAGAGTGTGGAATTACAAATCAAGGGAATGAAGGCTTATCAGTATTTTAAAACAAATGTTTATGCAGGTAATATTTTTAAAACAACAAAAACGTATTTTCTGATTGTTTACTGAAAGTATCTGATTAAACCTTTAGCACTATGTGCTATTTGTATGTTCCAGTTGAGAAGCATCTTAATTTCTTTAAACACCACACTACTTTTAAATGAGAATTCTTACAGATGTCAACTCCCTCCATTGCTGCCTAACATATTGGAGTCAAGCCTTTTAATCAAACTCTAACTGAAGAAAAATCAAACTGGGTTTCACTGTGGCCCAGAGACGGTTTTGGTCAGAACAGCTATTTTAAGGTTGTTAGTTTTTGAGCTTTTTTGTAGCTGTTGTGTTGTTGTTGTTTGTGGGTTTGTTTGTCGTGTTTTTAATTACCTTGAGTTATGCAAATAAATCCCTGCTGATATTCAACAATTTTTAGTTTGCTGGTAGTGTCACAGTATGGCTACACATGAATTGATTTATGTCCATTTGACCCCACAGGAATATTGTAGATGAAATGTACTGTCATGTTACTCAGACACTCGTAAATGACATAATATCTAAAAGATAGTTTTAAGCCTGCTGTGTACTTACCCAGTTTTTCTTTTTCTTTTTCTTGGAATCAACGTCATTACCACTGCCAATGCTTGAATGACTTGTAGCACTGTTGATACTGGAAACACTTTCTGAAGAATGTTGCCGCCTTATACGTAAATCTAAAGAAAAGAAATTACTTTGAAATCCTTCTGTTTCTGTTTCAATACAATAATCATTCTTATATTTATGTAGCATCTTCCTCCTCAACAGTAGTCTAAATGAACATAAATGCCTTTGATACTTGTAGTGGTTCAGATTAAAGTTATTGCTGCCTGTGAGAAACCACACAGGGATCAAGGGGGATGGGTACAATTAGTCTAACACTTGAGAGATTCTCCAAACTGGGGTGTTACTGTCCTGAAGGCAATGACCCTGCACAGCAACCTATGCACACGTAACCTCATAGTTGAACAGTGTCTGTTACAGATTATTGTCTTATTGTCACATGTACTACATTTCTGAGGACTACAGGCCCTATTTGACTTGTAGCAGCCCCAGTCAGTTTCAGATGTTACCTTCTAATATACCATGATGGAAATAAACAGGCATTATGGAAATGGAAATAAACATTCATTAAAAATGAATGCAAGAAAATAACCAAGAAGTAGAAAGTATTAGAAATGGTTGGTGAGGCTTTCGAGTTTCAATTTCTTAAAAGACTTTGATACCTATATCTTAATCACTGGAAAATATTCGTGCAGAACATGCCTACTAATACCAAGGAAAATTACTTTTTAGAATTATTTTCCACTTCCTAGAAGTCAGCTTTGCTCCACTTAAGTCATGCAGTGAAATGACCTTAAGGCAAACATCTAAATAATGATCTCTCTAAAGAAAGATCAATGACACTTTAAAAAATGAACACTGTGATTATTTTTCTTCTTCAAGTAATTCCTTTGCTGTTGCTTATCAACAAGCACTTTTGAAGTATATATTTACCATGTGATAGCTGCCTAACTGCAATGACAAATTAATTTAACATCTGGAATTTAAAATGCCTGCTTTCCTGCACTGATTTAACACTTCATAAAGGAGCTGAGCTATTTTCAGTCCATCTCTTAACAATCAGAATGCCAGTTTACAAAGCTACAAGTTTGATTGGATTTCCAAGCTATTAACATGTTACACCATAAGACTTCACTAGTGTCTTCATTGTACTTCAGTACACAACTGCAATGACATGGTTAACTACTGACACCCAGCAATCAATTCCTGGCCACCCAGTTCTAAGAAGATAAAGCTCCAGGGACTCTGGCAGACAGAAAGCTTCTTCAAGGTTTCCAGCTCTGGAAATACCACAAGTATGCCTACCATTCACTGCAGAATGTGCTTGCCTTTGCAACACAGTCCCCAAACAACAGAAAAAAATAGTGACTTTAGTTTGTTGTTTTTTGTTTTTTTTTTTTCCCTGAGGAGAAACTCTATTTATTTTAACAGTGGTAAAACTATACCTTTGTGGGTATGATCAGGACCGTTCAAGGCTCCTTGAATAGCAGCTTGTGCAGCAGAATTCTGGGCTTTCAGCATTTCAATGGTTTCCCTCAGCTCTATAAGCTCAGACTCCTGTGGGAAGAACAAAGAGAGTTCAAAGTATATATTAAAAGAACAATGTTTGTCGAAGGTCAAAAAAATAAAATACAAGAGTGGTCAAACTAAAGTTCATAGGACTGCTTGGATGAACAGAAGGGCAACAATAAAATAGAATGATTATGTTTTCTTCAAAGATATCAAAGTGAACTAATGTATTCTTTTTCATTTATTCTAAATAAAGCAATCATGCTATTTTTAAGAAGACTAATCTAAAAAGGGTCTCAATAGAGTATTCAAAATAAAATTAAGAGAAACCCAACAATGTTATTACAATAGACAATAAAACCATTTGAATAACATCCTTTAGTGTATGAGGCTACTGTTTAATGGATGAATCTCAACCTGAATCTGTGTATTTTTCAAAATATTTAAGTTGTTTAATACTAATTCAATTAAAAAGCCCCTGTTTAATAGTAACTGTCCTGCAAGTTGAAGTAAAATTACTCCACTTGATTGCAGAAAGCTCTGTATCAGAATGCACAGCTGAGTTTTATTAAAAAATAACTTTTATTACTGCTTTTATTACTTCCATGTCTATCCAGCCTGTATTTATACAATAAGGGTTAAGGTAATTTAAACTCAACAGCAGAGGAAAGAAGTGAAGGAAAAGAACATGTTCTAAATCTTTAGGGAAAGAAACTTGGAAATGATCAGTTTCAATGTCACTACTTAACCTCTTCTGGAAAGAAAACCTTCTCAGGGAAATCGTACTTTGTAAAACAGTCAAAAGCTTTGGTTCTAAGAAAATTCCATTGAGTTTTGGTGGTGTTGTGGTTTTTTTGGTTTGTATTTTTCCCCCCTATGATGAGAAAAAAGCAAGCAATACAAATATTTTCCATCCAGTTCACAATGAGTCTCACCACATTTCATCTGCTGGTGCTCAACCAGACCATGAAATGTTATTTTTATAGACAGTTACACTGACTCCAGTGGTGAATAGTAGCTCACTGATATACAGTTTCTTTCACAGTTTGGCTCAATAAGGGCTGTTTATAGGATATTGTTCAAAATCAATAAGCTGCAGAGTTTCAATCCCGGAAGATGCTAAGCAGCCTCTTAATCCTGAGCTTGATGCAAAGGTGCACATTAAATTTATTCCCTATCAGGTTTAGATTTTTTCCCTCATTAGACAAAACACAGCTAAACCCAAAATTGTTTACTCATGAATAGGATGCCTAACTTGCATTAACTCCCTGAATGGGGTTATTTTTCTCTACTTAAAAGTTCTTCCCTTCCTGTAATTCTATCATTCTAACAACGCTGGCAGGCTGGAAAGGAGCACTACAGCAGCTTATGATCAATCTTTGTTACAGGATCTTTCAGTACAGAGTAAACCTAGAGTTGCATATGTTTTAATTAAAATCTGGAAATGAAAGATTTTATCTTCAAACTATTCTATGACATTGTCTGTGTAAACCTAATGCTGCACAGTTTAATTCTCCTGGACTTTTATGAAGATTTAGATCGCAGCAACTATTAAAGACAGATCTGTCTGCATTATTGTCACAAATGTCCCTGTTTCCTTTCAGTGTTTTTGTAACAAAACTCTAATATAATTTGCTGACTATTTTCCACATTAAAGCGTCTGCTTTGGTAAACCTACCTTTTGTTCAGCTGTCATTGTTAGACTCTGCAATCGCCCTGTCATATTTCCCAAGCTTTTTTCAAAAGCTGCTACTAGATGAGCCTGTGAAAGAAAGAGAAGAGAACATTTGTCATGACAGAAGGACAATTTTCCCAGATCTATTTGATTTTTAAAAATACGTTTTTCCTCCAAGCACATCTTCTCCATCTCTTTTATATTAGTTTTAAACTCAGACTGAGCTAACTTGGAGAGATGAATCAGCCAAGTGAGCCCAGTGTTCCTCAGGCTTCTTTAGCCCCCAGTGAGATTAACTCAGGTATCTCTGCCTGGAAATGAATTATGGATTTAATGCCCTGCTTTGAGTTTACTGATATATTGGCCAAAAGGAGTCTACTCCCAAATAGAAGTCGAGGAGCAATTATTTTCAATTACTGGACATTTTAAAATGGGAATTCAAGTACTTTATCTTGAAAGGTAAATTTTACCTTAACAAATAAAACTCTCCAGAGAAATCCTGAGTCTCAAACAAAAAATATCACAGTTAGTTTTATAAAAGGTCATTGCTTAGTCTATTAATCTTATATTGATTATAATCTCTGTGTGTTGTGTATATAAAAGTAATGAAAAACTTATGTAAAACAAATGTAACATTTATAATGTGTTTCAAGTGTATATATAAAAGACAATCTTGAAAACTGGATGTCCTACTTCTCAGTAGGAAAAGTAATAAAGCTGAAACAGATCAAAAGATTCAAAAAATTTAATGCTGCTTTTTTTTTTTCCCAAACAGCCAGCATCCTACACTTGATGAAAGTAAAATTTATACAAAGAATACATCAACTCTTCATTGGCTCTAACTGACATCAAAGAAGGGCAAGTGGTCATAAAGAAACCAACAATCTAAGCCAGCTTGTACTGCCAAGGGAAAGTAAAGATTTAGTTTTCATGAAATTCCACAAAATTCCATCTATTTGTCTCACAACACCAAACATTAAAAGCAAAAAGAAATACTTCTTTTCTCTTTGCCATCTCAAAGTGGTAACAGGCAAAGTTTTCAAACATTGGCACTTGGAAATATAAATCAAACCTAACATATTTATATACACAAATGGATTAACTGAGCTTCCTCACTGAGGAAGTTTATTTTTTATTATAGAAGTGCAGGCACACACAGTGCCTGGCATATTTTTCAGTTGCAGATTTGCATGCTTTTACAAGCATAGTTTAAATTGTTTGAGTGTACGTGATTGTAGTGAATCCGAGGTATAATCAGGAAAAGACATGGTCCAAAAAAGATTTTGTTCTGCATTTGAGGAGTAAGAAAACAGCTTCTTGCCACCTTGCTCTGTATATTATACCTCAAAGAGAAAAAAAGTTATCATATGTATAATAGTGGCTACTCTGCTTCTCCTCTTCAGAGTTATTAAGTGATAAGTGGCCTTTATGTTTTGTAAATAATTTTGGAGTGCTATAAACATTTAACTATCTTGAAAGCTCCTTCTTTTATTCTTATTAAATTTACTAAAGATTTCTTCTTTGTAAACTATCTTCTTTGTAAATTATGTATTTAGTTACTTATGGTTATAGTGGTCAATACACTTGCTTTCTCCATCTGCAGGGGTAATTCTTTTGGTAAAGGACTGACTTTTTATAAACATGAGACTAGATTCATATGCAATTTCTTAAGGATTAATTAGCAAATTGTGTATTTAAACATTTATAATTTAGGCTATATTCTTGAAGTTACAATTTTAGATAAAATGAACCTGGAATATGTGTTAAATGCACCTCTGAAACCGTTGATCAATACTAAATCCTTTGATTGATTTTACTATTCTGTTCCTCAGAGAAAACAAAAGTAACTAGTTTCTAAAGTTCCTTTTCACTATAATAATTATCTACATACTAAAAATATCTAGACTAATCAATGGTGTTTTATTTCCAAAGATGATGACTACTGACCCAGAACACATTTAGAGACAGAGTAGATGCACTACTACAGAATAAGAGCCAAATGTCTCTTCATTACACATGTTTAACAGGAAACTAATGGAGCTCACTGTTCCCTGCCTCATAAAAAATCTATAGCTTGGCTGATGGACCGTGGTTTTGCTTTACCATGAGAATTACAGCGGGGACCGAAAGCTTGCAAAGAGGAATAATTTGTTTAATTATGCATTGCTTTTGTCCGTTTCTCACAATTAGACTGTAATAACCAGAGTTCTTTGGTATCAAACTATGCATATTTGTGCAGAGTATTTTCCTATTTCACAGCTAAAACTTCATCCAATATTGTACATGAATAAACCACAAGGAACTTATAGGAAAAAATAGGATCTAAAAAGCATCATTAAAAATGCCATCAAAGATCACCAAAACTGCTAAGTTATTCTGACAGCCTTTAGAGAAAGACAGCCATGTCATGCCTATGGATTTTTACTAAAATTCAGACTGTGACAGAGTACATTACCTTCTTTGAGCATCATACTGAATTTTTTGCATCATAAATGTAATTGGATCAGGATGATGGATTCCTTCTAACTCACTTGAGAAAAAGACTATCAGGTCTTTATTTGCTTATAATAAAGAAACATAATTCAAAGTTCCATCAACCAAAGACTCTTCAAGAAAAAAGCTTTAACTGCATTGTTCACTACTTTGTATGTTTATTACAACAGAATACTCTTCCATGAAACACAAAGTATTAATTTTTCCCCCAAAGAAATACTACACAATAAAATAAGAAAAGTTAGTTTCAAAAAGGCTAGATTATCATTATATTTCTATGTGTATTGAAGTATGTATAAAACATATGTATATGTATATTCCTATTTGAGGCCAGGTTTTGCATTTAAACATCTGAATGCAAAGTAATTCAGAAAAAAATTAAAGCAAATAGACAGAAGTACCTGTGTCTTTAATAATACTCACCAGAAACTAAAAGTTCTAATTAGAAATCTATTTTACACTTACAAATACAGTAATTTCTTTTCATTGGATTGCTAATCCTCAGTTTTTGAGGATTATTTAATTTATCTAAAAAGTTCTGTGCTTCTATTCTCATAAAAATATTTAGGAATATATATATATATAAAAATTTACATTCAATTTCTCACACCTTAGAAATCTCTGTGTTAGGTTCAGTAGTTTCATTCATGGACTGTGTACATCATTGGAATACCTCAAAAAGTAGCCTGAGTACTGCATGTACATTAAATAATACTCATTCTAAAATAAAAATATGTCTTCATTATTGAATACAGTATTTGCACTTAGAATTAGAATTAAGCAACTGGGTATTAATGGAAGTATGCCTACAGCAAAATATACCCATCATTAACATTATATATCAGATATATAGATGATGTATGATGTACAGTTCTTAATCTGTAGACCTTTCACGTATGAATTAATTATGACTTCTATTAACATATGAAATTCCCATTAGAAATAGTAAAAGCCATGTACACTCAGGGAATGACTTCAGTGCTAAGATGACAGATTTGATTTTAGACATTTTCTTCTTAGTAAATGATCCCAGCCAGGCAAACCCCAAATACTTCAGCTCTAGGTTTACAGTTTATCCTGGATGTGAAATAGGCACATGAAATATCTATCTTCTGATACACTTTATGATTTGAACTGGAGTGTTCAGATTTATAAAACAAAAGTAAAGAAATAAAGTTCCTCCCACCTGACACGGCTGAATGAAAGGAAGTGTGAAAGGCCAGAAGGGATCGGGCTGATTGCAAGTAGCAACTGTACATCTGGTGACCTTTTCTGTTTGCTGCCTGCTATTATCTTGTTGCTTGGCTGCAGGATAGTGGTTCAGAGCTGGCCAAACAAGAGTATTCGCCAGCGAATCCCTTCCACTTTCTACCGGCATCCTGGTTCTACTACAGTTTGTAAGCATGCAGCCTTCAGCTTTATACAGCACAAAGCACTCACTGATCAAAGTCTGTCTGAACAGGCTGGTTCAGGCTGTTCACTGGAATTTGAGCCCTTGTCAGTCATGTAGGAAGTCTGCTGGTTGGACACTTTCTGCTCTGAAAGCAGGCCCTTCCTTAATTAGTATGGAGATTTGCCCTTCAGCCACATTGAGACAGACACCAGGGATAAAGCCAGAATCTCAGAAAAATCTGTAAATTAAGCATCCAAACAACAGCTGGGTCCTGTTTGAATTTAATCATATGCAGCAAAACACTTTGGGGTTAATCAAATGAAATAAACTGCTGAAATCAACCATGGTACTTGAGTCCAGCCAACAAAACCTGAACAATAAATGAAACCAAATAAGAACAATTTTGGCAGAGTCACCAGAAATGCTGTAACTTCCAAATGACAGACTTTAGTATAAAATAATATATTAAGCAAAGGCTTGATGAAATAGGTCAAATTTCAATCTGTCCGTCTTTTAATGATGTACTAATGTTATCAACACTCTTCCAGGAGAAGCAAAGAAAGGCATAAATAGTGCTGAAATGAGATAATTAAGATGCTCTTTTTTCCCATTCCTATATAATACTTTTGCTCAGTTCTACAAAGGGAAATGGTAACAACAAATTCACACTTGAGATGAAGTGTGAGGGAACAAGATTTCTGGCTCTTAATTGTTTCCTTCTCCAGACCACAGCAAGGAAAAAAGCACTGCCTATTTTCAGACAGGTATGGAAATTAGGAGGAGCTCAGGACTAATGCTAAGATGAATGCAATTATAGCAAAGGCATCAAAAGGGACAGTGTATTTTTCTGGTTAGCAAAGACACCACAGAAGATACTCTGATCTGTATGTCCTCTGCCTGCCAGAGATGGATGTATCTACAAAGACAGGCAGTGATCAAACTTTTCTGCATTAAACTTAATGTTCAGGTTTTAGCTTACTGATGTACAAATGTGACTCAAAATGAGGACCTTAGCAGCATTATCAGTTTATTGATTTGATTTTTTCTCTGAGAATAAATTCCATATTTTGTCATTAGGACTATTTCTCCTAAAAATGCAGGAACTGGTGAAGTATGTCTCAGACCAGAAAACAGATGATAAATGAATACATGCAAGGAAAGCATTTCTAAGGTAGTACAAGTTTATGAAAATGAGAAGCCCATCTGGGTTTTTCATGTTTTTCAAATTAAATCAATATTTTTTAATTATTCTCAGTTTTTTATGAAAAGTATATGAATATTGGCATTTAAATATCAATTTTGTAGTTACACTAAATGGACAAACTGCTTTACTGTCTGCAGAGTAAAGTGAGAAATGGTACCACAAGCCTCAATTATCACCCGGAACAGACACTGAGCATACGCCCACCACAGGAAAACGATTTAGTTTTACAGATCTGACACCTCTGCTCAAAATCACGGAATGCTTTAGGTTGGGAGGGACTTTTAATGATCATTTAGTCCAACCCCTGGGTATAGGCAGACATGTCTTTCACTAGATCAGGGGCTTGCTGGAATCAAGATAACTCCTTATCGCTCTCTACAACTCCCTGAAAGAAGGTTGTAGCCAGGTGGGCGTTGGTCTCTTCTCCCAGGCAACCAGTAGTAGGACAAGCGGGCACGAGCTTAAGCTCTGCTAAGGGAGGTTTAGGTTGGATATTAGAAGAAATTTTTTACAGAGACAGTAATCAGACATTGGAATGGGCTGCCCAGGGAGGTGGTAGATTCAGCATCCTGGAGGTTTTTAAGATGAGACTGGATGTGGCACTGAGTGCCATGGTCTAGTAACCACGGTGGTGTTGGATCAAGGGTTGGACTTGATGATCTCGGAGGTCTTTTCCAACCTGGTTGATTTTATGATTCTATGATTCCTCTGGGGAACACTAGGGAACACAGAGTGGAGATGGGAAAGTCTGTCCAACCTGGCAAAGAATGAAGGTCGGTGTCTAAAACATGTGAGTCAAGGAACCCTGTACCCATTAGATATGCTGGCTATTCTAGCTATACATTCTCAAATGAATAACTCAACTCAGAATCTAGATTTTGAATTTACAAACATCACAATGTCCCGTATCATCTGCTTTGCTAGTTCATTCTCAGTACTCAGAAGAGTCTGGCAATGTACCCCGCTACAGATGTACAAATACCCACAGATGTTCTGCAGCCACTTGAACAGAGAAAGAAGTGCTAAGTATAGCTCTTTCACATTTTCATGTGTGACAGTCCTAAGAACACAAGCTTCCAGAGCTAGAGATTATTTTCTCACAACATGAACACAGTGCTACTTCACCAACTGAAATAATTTCTTTAAAATTATGGCAGTATTCATAGATCTAAACACTCAGGACACCAACATTTCAAAGAAATGTACTCTATGGGTTGCCCAAGACATCAGGAAACTGCTTTCTTGAATTGCAAAATGATGCTTTCTTGCAACTGCATCTCAGCTTCCTTGCCAGCAGTAACTGTAATTATATTCTGATTTGCATTTAAAAATCAACATAACAGATTGTTCAGTAACTATCCAGTAACTTCACCTGAAACCAGAGTAACCAAACAGGATTGTAGCTCTCATTCTGTATTGGGCATTATTTTCAGATAATGTGTTCAATAACTCACATCACCAGTATATGGCAATTCAAAGGAACATCAGGAAATACCTCTGTGAAATAGCCCAGATTTCATTAGTCATATATCAGCACTGTTGTTGCAGCATATGAACTCTAAATACACTTGTATAATGTGTATACATACACCTGTATGCATTTTGCAGACTTTGTGAAATGGAACTCTAATGAAATTTATCAGAATATGCAAATCATGTCCCTTCTTTGGTTGTGTCTCCTTACTTTTGGCCTTTTTTTATAATTGATTCTGAGAAAAGAGTGAAACTGAACAGGAAAGGACTGTTGTCACATCCAAAGTGTGGAACCTCTCCTTTCCATTTCCACTGTCCACTTTCCACTTCTTTTAGAAATGGATTTCTTCTCCTGGAAGCAGGGGCAACATAAATATTTAATGAAGTAATTAATTTGAAAAACACCAAAATAAACAAATAGTAAAAGTCTTGCAGACTACATATTGAGTAACAGCTATTAGCCAATCTGATATTGGGTTCTTTGATACTGTTTGTGATCACAAGCAAAACTACTTACATTTGCTGAAAGTTGAGAAGTAAGCGTAGCAACTTTCTCTTGTGATGCAACCAACTCTCTCCGCAGTTTCTGAATTTGCTAGAAAAACAACCGACTGCTGTCAATATTTCAACAATTTCCTTTTGTGGTGGTTATTTTGGTATGTTTTCTTAAGAGACCACAAACAAGTTTACAGCATCTTAGTTTCACATTTTAGTCACCAAAATATTCAGAAATACAAAATATTAAAGTTCATTCTTAGTGTTGCTCCAACTGCTTTTTTTGCACTTAACCAGTATGTGAGGTAGGATTTCAGTTAAGAGAGCACATATGGGCAAATGCTTAATTACCTCATAGGTACAATCCTGTTTGAAAGGGAAATGTCATGCTTTATTCCCAATCCCATAAGTTCCAAACATATCTTTAGTGCAATCAAGCAGAGCAGCCCTGGATGTGCCCTGAGATTTTGAAACATGAATGCATTTGGGTAAGGTTCACTGTGTAGACATGATGCAACCAACATATGTTAAATGTCTACATTAGATTAAGATAAAGTGACCAAAAGTACTCTCCCACTGCCTGGCATGAAGAAGGTTTTGATGGCTACCCCAGACACAGATTTTTGCTTGTGGATGTCTAAAATTAGGTGAGGTAAAGTAGTATTTTTTTTCTTTAACACAATGTTTCCTACACTCCCTGCAATTCAAACATTCAGCCTCTTTAAACCCTCTATAGTATTCAAAAACTTGCTTGACAACTTACAAAAACAAGTGTCTTTTTAAATGTGCTTGTGGACATGAAAATAAAATTAATTCAAGACTTGTATCCTTTAATGAAAAACAGAATCCTCAAGAGATTTACATTTACATCCTGTTTACATTTCAGCTGGGATAGCTAGCTAGCATGAAGCTTGTGTATCACTTTAAGCTCTTTTAACCCTATTTGAGATGTTACTGGGGCTTTTGGACATTGCACTGAACTTAAGCACAGCATGGGATTCACTCTGAAAACCCTTTCGTATTCAGACATAAAAGAAATTATTCCAGACTAGAGAAGTAAAATGTGTTAAGCTAGCCTAGGAAAGGGAACATACAACAGTCACTACTAAAGACTATTGCAGTACTTTAGTTTTATGACTCCCATGAAAACCAACAAGGAATATTGCACAAGCTTTAAGAATGAAAAAGTTCCTGTACCTCCACAGTACAAAAATAGCTAGGTCATTTACACTGGCTCAGTGCAAAGGAGACAGATTATCAAGCTGTTCTCCATCCTGGACTGACATTTTCTTCTTCCAAGTTTTCAGTTTTCAAGAGCAATTATTTAAGAATATATATAAGATAGATATATATGTATATAAGAAAGAAATGTTGTTTCACCTCTATGTACAGGTGCATATAGAGGGCAATAAAATTAGAAATTGTAATTTACACTACTGAGCTATGGCATGCCTCTTTAGCTTCTTTGTTCAAGAGAAGTGAGCTTAGATGTTTCAGGTAGAAATTATATTGAAATATACTGCAGTAAGGAGGAAGAATATGTTTATTTGTTCAACTTCCTCAAAATATCTTGAAATATCTAGAACAGTAAAAACAGGAGCAGCAAAAATGCAGGAGTTGGAAGGTATGTAGCTCTGTGAAGTGGAAGTGCACCCCTTGGTGCTGTATTTTATTGCTGTTACTCCTTGGTGCCCTTTTAATACAACCAAGACTTCACTTTGAGAAAGGCTGTAATTGTATCCAGCCGCTGACCCAGGCTTGTCACCCATTCTTACACATTGTGAGGAGAAAGAAGCTATTTTCCATGCCAAATTTGATTTATATCTGAAATCAATCTGCATTGCTCTGAAATCCATCAAAGTGGTCACTTTCAGAAATTTAATATAATGCAAACTGTAAGAGAGAGAAGTTCAAAGCAATCATTTGAAGTATTTTTCTCCCGAAAGGCAGTACATTACCTTGAATTGCACAGTCCTTAAGATCCAGCACAGAGTGGTTTTAAGTCTGAAATCAGACCTATCACAACTCCTCCACTCAACACCCAGTTCTCATTGATTCTTTTCATCTTTTCAGAATGGCAGCCAGGAGGCTTTCTCCAGCACAATGCTAAGAAAACACCTTCCAGTACACTAAAAGCTGTGCCAGGTTTTTACCTATACTTCTTAAAAGGTGATGCAAAGACACAGAGTGTATTTTTCCCAGTGACTAGGCAGTTTAGCCAAAGCAAGTAAAAAATTAACTATAAAATAATATAATGCACTGCATAAATATAAAAATGAAGAAAAGTTCTTACCTCTGAATGTGCTTTTTCTTCTGCCTGGAAGAAAACAAAGAAGAAATGGCTTAGAATCAGTGTGCAACATAATTGAAGTAACAGAAAATAAGAGCCAGCTATACTGAAGTGAAATGAATAGCTTCATGAATCCATTACATTTAAGGAAGGTATCCAGTAAAAACAGTAAATGGAATTCCTTTCAACTTACTTGGCAAGGCTCTCACTGAAACCCCAAAGAGTATGCCAGCATACTGACAACATGAAACAGTGGATAAAGGGAGAATAGGACCAGAACCGCAGAAATTGTAGCTCTATTTCTAAGATACAAAAGAAAATTTACTATGCTGTCACTGCATAGACCTCAGTCTGATATAAGCAAACTTTTACACCAGAATGATTATTAGGGCTCCGAGAATTATATTTGTTTTACTGCATACCAAGCAATATTCCTAATACAATAATAACTAATCCCTGCTAAGAAAAGTTGTCAGCACACCTGTAAAACATACGTGGGAGAAGGTGAGAGGTACTTGCAGTTTAAAGTAATTTCTTCCATACAAAATACTGGCCAAAATATTAAGGGCTATCAAGGCATGTTAAAGTTTTAACCTAAACTTGCTAATATTATTTAATAATTTTAGATATTTTCCATATTGTAATGTCTTATGTCATATGATGAAGCTATTTACTCATCAGCCTTTTTTTTCAACAGGGCAAGAAACTAAGCCATTGCAAGGCAAAAGTTTGAAAGTCATTCAATTTCTAAGCATGGGAATTGTGCTATTTAGGTGACATTTGGTGGACAGAGAAATCTTGCTTTAGTGGGATTCTAATGGAAAGGAATGGAGGGCCTTAGGAAAGGAACCCTTTCACAACATAAAATAAGAATCAGATAATGTACTGGAAATCAATCCATCCCATGGTCTGAGGTGGCCCAAGTTCAGAGAAGCAGTCTAGCATGTCTTGGAAGAGAAGTAAGAAGTAAAAGGAAAATGTAGCTAGAAGAATTATCTATAAATAACACTAGAAACTCTGAGAAAACCCATGGTAAGGTTTCTGAAGAAGATTCTCTAACATTGGCTAGTCTGTGTTATTATAAATTAATATAGCTGATTTTAGGCCTGTTCAGGCATAATTTTTTTACCATTAAAATGTTAATGATTTATTATAGAAATGTTTTATTGCTCTCCCTGGTGTAAGGGGAGAAGACTTCTGAAAAATGCCTCTCTCCATACATGCTTACTTGTTAACAGTCACTATACAGACCGTGATGCTATGATGTTAACCTTTGCAACAGCTTTTGACTGGAACTACTATAATACCTCACTACATGAAGATGATTTAGTATAATGATAGTTTTGCCAGTACTGACATGACACTTGTACTGTGACACATTAACTTTCTGATCTAGGTTTGCAAAAAGGAGATCTGCCTACAGAAAAAAAAATTCCCATTATTGTTACTTCAAGCAAGCAGTGTGAGGAAAGTCACAAAGGGATTGAGGATGACCATGAAAAAATTTAAGGTTGATGACCTTTTCCTAAAACTGCCATGTGGGGACATGGTGCTGTCCTTAGACTGCCAAACCTGCTGATGAAGGCAATGCTCCATGTTGTTACCAGAGCTCTCCCTCACTGCACAAGGAAACATTTCCTGTCTTTCTGAGTTCAGAGAGGTCGCTACCACAAGTCGGCTTTTGTAGGCAGTATAAGAAGTAATTGAAAAAGAAAGAAGAGGATTCTGGGGATACTGTAAACTTAAAAAATAAAATCTAACAACCAAATACATCTGAGCAGTTTTTACTTAAGTTCATGCTGACACCATTGTAACCCAGAACTCTAAAAGGAAAGAGAAAGACTCTAAAAGGAAATAATTATTTTTCTCCCTCTACTCCTCCTTCATATGCATGCATTCCATCCTTGTAAAGATTATTTTTTCTATTTTTGAAATCTTAGAATATTAACATACAAATGACATGTCCTTACACATCTCCTTTGAGCTTGGCTTAGCACAACCAGTGAAGCCTAGGGAGTCAACTAAATATGTGAAAATTTAAGTGTCTCCCCTACTGAGCAGGAGAAGATTAAAACTGGAGACAACCTATCATAATTTTTTGAATTTCTCAGAGACAGCACTAGATGCATTCACTGCCAAAACCGAATCAACCTACTAAGTCTGCTTACATGGCATATTTTTCAGTGAAACAAAATGGCTGTCTCTGTACATGTGTATCTCTACAAGCTAGATTTCCAGTCTAAGCAAGTTAAGTTCTGAAAATCCAAATGCAAGTCAAGAAGAAAGCCAATACATAAAGAAAACAGTAGAGAATGCAGAACTTCTGTGTCACTCGACTTATTCAACGGTAGTAAATCATGAAATGTCTCTTCTGAATATCGTATTCTAATTCTCAAAGAAACATTCTTCATTGAATACCTTAAAGATTTTAAACTATCCTTTGGTAATAATACATAATGATCTTGATCTTTATTTAGTACTTCATCTGAAACTCTCCATTGATTAGGCTGCAGAGAACTGCTTACACCAAGACTTAAGACAATGCTTGAGAAATCTGACAAATATTTGATTGAGATACTTATGAAAAGGTAGCTGCTTTGTAATTCCTGCTCAGTGATTCTGGCCTGCTTAAGAAAGGTAAAAAAGCTCTTGTACTCATCCTTGAATCTAGTAATAGCTGAAAGCAACTCATATGTGCCATAACCCTGTGAAGCTATCCCACAGCATTCAGCTGATGTGATAGCATCACCCTTTCATGTTTCTATACTTCACTTGTGCTTCATCTCCTGATTTATTGCTAAAAGTTTAAACTTAAGGGATAAGCAGAAGAAATTCAGTTCAAAAATCATTCCTAAAGTCAATCCTAGCAATTTTGTCATACCAATTCTTTTCTGGCCCTTTACAGATTTTTCTGCAACTTATATTATCTTGCTTGCATAATCCATTACTTAAGGAGCGGGGCTCAGCTGCAATGTGAATTCACAGTCAGAAATTTCAGAAAATATGTATAGGATGAACCTGGGTAAACAATTTAAAGTTTATTTTGCAGGAAAAATACTGTTCATTGCTAATATTTCCAAGATATTCTGTAATGTTGAAATAAGTAATTATTAGTAAACTCTTGTTACATTAGACATCATCAGAGCACACTTACTGACTGGGTGCTGAAAGTATCCTGTGTCACTCTATAATTCAATTTTTACCATCTATCAGTTTCATAACATTCTCCTAAAATTTGACATCAAATCTTGAATTATAATTTTGGATGCCACTTCCCATGCAAACTGATCATAGTGTCTCATAGACAGGAAAACAGTGCTAAATATTTTTCAACCACCACCATATAAGTGAGAAGCTTTACTCTGAATGTTAATACTACCTCATGTGCAGCCAGTCTGCATATACATTCTATGTCCCCAACCTCTACCTCCTCTTCCCCACTCCCAAATAATTCAGGACTGGTCTGGACTAGAATTACTTGCAACTTGCAGTTTAAGGCCAGGACAAACCCAATGCATGTGTTCTTGATGTTTCAGATATGCCTTTGTATGAACCTTTTTCTGATTAAATGCAACTCAGAGAGGCACCTGGAAACATGGAGAGGACACAGACTTTTCACACATGCATGGGGTGAAAGCAGTTACGTGGGTTGCTCTCCTGTTGAAAGGGGCTGCTACTGCATGTAATTGTAGTTAGCAAACAGGTTGCAAAGCAAAAGTTGAGTATCCTCAAGGCAATGTCCAAGCACGTTAAACTGCTCCTATATGGATGATTTCTCGTTAGTAGAACAACTGAAGCAATAAGTTATGCAAAATATATAACCCTCCATAAGGTAATAAAAAAACATATTAAACCAATAAAATAGAGAAAAAAAATCAAACCCAGAACAACTTCTGGAGCTAGAAACAAATCTAATTAGTCTAATTAACAAAGATTAAAATTTTTAAAGTTACTCTTCTCTTTGTAAATAACATCCAAATGCTGTCATTTGCAAGAAAGATCAGTAAACATGTAAACCGCAAATTGTATCTCCCTTACCCTAAAGCAATCTTGTGGTTTTCAAGAAGTGTACCTCAAAGAGTGCCAAGATATAATTACTTTGTAAATTGTGCAATTAGAAAACTCGCTGAAATTAAGCAAAATCACTCATAATTATGAATTACAATAGCATAAGGACCCCCCTTAAAGAGACACTCTTAGACCATTATCTTCTTTTCAGCTTTCAAAATGTATACTAGGTGATTTTAAACTCTTATAAGCAATAAACAGAAAAAGATGAAAATAATGTTTTCTAAAGTAGCATGCAGTAATACAAAGTTCAAAATAAACATTTCTACTTTATTGAGGTAAAATTTTAAAATTCTTCCAAATCTCAAGGTATTGAAATTGTCATGAACAATGAACAAGAACCAAGGCAGGGAGAACTTTTTTCTACAATGTCAATACTCACCGTAGAGTAGAGGGAGGATGTGCTGGAGACAAGCGATAATGAGGACCCATGTACTTTAAAAAAAAAAAAAAAAAAAAGAAATATTGATAAAAGCATAAAACTCCCCCCATGTAGCTCAATAACTAAACAAGCTTTTTAAAACGAGAACAGATTTTCTACAAAGAGCAATTATGAGTATAGAAATCTATTGATAGATTTCCCTGCATTTAGAAAGATTGTCCTATACAGATAAAACACTTTCTGTGTATAAAGCAGGAGAGTGAGCCTATGACATTCAGTATTATTATCAGCAAATCAAGCATCCCTTTTGTTGTTTTGACAAGTAATCACTTGATAAATACAGTCTTTAGAGGAACTAGAAATTGAGCTGTTTATATATCTGTCCTAAACTGAGCAAATTATTTTAATAAGAGACAATGCTTTGGAGAACAGTTCACATTCCCTGGTGTGAGCTCCCAAGCTTTGTGAGCACAATGTGGACTCGTGTAGTCGAGGTCCATGGGAAGGGGTTACCATGAGACATAGTGCCATTATTTCCACTAATTATCAGTGGAGTCAGTCTCAAGAGCATTGAGTGAATGTTGAAGGGCTGCAATTTAAAAAATGGAGTACCCGGCCAGTCTGAAAATGGCAAATGAAGACTAAAACTGAAACAAAATTGCCCCTTCTGCTTCTGATGACTCTTTGGAGGAAGGCTACACCCACAGAGAATTTAAAAGAAATGAATTTATTTCATTACTTCTTTTTATTTTTGTTTCACAAGTTTTTCTGATATTTATAATCTGCCAGGGCTTGGTAAATAAATTATTTTGCTTTAATAACTACTTGGCATCTGTATGCCAAAAACTGACACAAGAATATTTGGATTAGCAAAATAGACTTTAAATCTAGTTTTGTAACTAGGCAAATATTTATAAAAATGCAGTACACTGAACATTGAAACTCTATGGCTGCCAATATATATTTGGTTTTCAGCCTCTGGTTTAAATCTCTCAGCTAAACTCCCATTCTGGATTTAAACACAGTGGTTCTATGCATTACCTCACTTCTTTCTCTTTAACGTTCCTCAGAGCTCCTATCTTAAAGTACATTTGACCTTCCAACAGCATCATTTCATGTTAATCTCTAATGACTGCAAACTGCTGAAAATTGTTTATTATCACTGCACTGACTTTCATTTACTCAGGCTGATCATGGTTATCCACTCCAGCTGGATATGAAACATAACCAATGAAAAAGCTTTCATCAAAGCCACTGGTGACCCATTACTGAAATTCTACATTTAACACCTCTTTTTCTATGCATAAATTATTTTCCTTGTTTTCTCTATTATTCTTCCACTGTTTGCTTTAATAATTCTGTTCCTCAGCAAAGGGTCTGTAGTCAGCTCTGTCCTTGAATTATGTGATATGCTTCTGTGCAGTCAGCCATCCTCTCCGTGCTGGCAACTCACAGCTTGAGTTGTCCTGTACCCTGCTGCTAGTATTACATACCCAGATGTCTGCCTGATATATCATCTAAAATACAGTAAAAGGAATCAAAAAGTATAAGTGCTAGTTGTCTGTTGTTCTGTCTAGGACTTTTTTTCTCCCCTTTTATCTCATAGCTATGAGGGGCTAGGGGGAGACTTTTAGGGCTAGGGGCAGACTTTTTTATTTGCCTATTATAAAGATCATTTATATTGTCATCGCTTAGCAGTAGAAAAGATTGGTGAGATAACATTATAGAGAGAATCTCCATGGAATTTTAGTTGTCTTTTTTTTTTTTTTTTTTAATTAAAAGGTGTGAGAACTTTGTGCTCAGGGGAATTCTGCAAATAATCAGATTTACCAGAAATGTTAGACAGAAGAAAATTTTACAGTGCATTTAATTAGAAGTTGTCAGGTACTCTGTGATTAAAAAAGAGCAAAACCAAAAGCAAACAATAAAATATTTCCCAAGTTTCAGGTGTTGCACATAGCATTAAAGAAAGCAGACCAACAGTAATCTGCATAAAGTAGTGAGTTCAGATTAAATGACAGAATTTAAATAAAGAAATTCACATAGTGTTTGATGTAGAAAATGACTACAAAAGAAAGGGGATGCTAAGTAGCACTGGTGTTTGGGAAAAAAAAGTAAATACAGAAGTAGGAATAAGAAAGCATAGAAACACAATAATCAAGGTATATTCAGACATTCCAGATTTAGAGGCAAAAAGAATAAAATAATTTTCCAAGAATGGCTTCCTTTCCTCCAATATTTCTTATAGAGGATTTGTACATGTATGAGATACACAGCAGTGCATATTACTGGGTGAAAGAAATACCTTCCACGTTTTAGGGTAAGGAAGGCCTGGGAGTCCAACTCAGCAGAATTATAAAAACTTCACAAAAACATTGAAGTTTTTATGTTGTAGAAGAAATTTTAAAATTTTACTGCACTTAGGATGCCTATTTTGGGACCAATTTGCTGATCCAAATAGTAATTCAGTCTTACCTTCTTCCATGCTGTCCCTGAATGAACCTGAATGACTAATCGCTCTTGGTCTCTCTTCTAAGGACGTAGCACTGCCACACAGTTGGGAGTCATCATATAAATCAAAAGAAGTGTCTTGTGCAGGGATGCTGTTTGAACGCATCATACTGGGTCCAGGAAGGTTGAACTGTGACAGGTTGGTAGGACTCACTAGAATACAAAGCCTTATTAATGAAGCACATTTCCATTAAGTTAATTTTGGTTCTGCACAAAACTGTAATGTAGGATAAGCATGGTTAGGTGGACTTCATGCTGTTGAGAAACTGAAAGGCTTTTATTCATACATTTAAAGGCAACACAAAAAGGGGAAGCAAATGACCTTAAAGGAGCTGGAGCTGGATGAGATTAATCCTGTAAATCACATGGTAACACTAACACTGGTGTCTGAACACACTTTTTCACTTTGTCAGCCCAAGACAGAAAATAAACAGCAGAGATTCAAAAGTTAAAAAGGAATAAGAAGTCATAAGTATTTTTCATAAGTATCTCAATTAATTAGTATCTGTATTTTATTGTTATATGCCTACATTACTGACTACTGTTAAAACCAAGATTTATTGGCATATGCAAGATGTTTATCCTTTGATTCTCAGGAGCACCTACCACTATATGAGGCTAAATTTCCTGCACCAGCACTGATGAACCTACTTTAAGCTTTTGCAAAGCTTTTTTGCCAGTAGGAAGGAAAGTCTGGTTATGGTTCACCTGGACCACACAAACCCAATGCCTAGAAGGAAATCTGTCTAACCAAATTCAGCCTCAATATTTGGACTTTTATTTTATGTTATGCAATATGTGCCTTAAGTTACAAACTACCAGAACAGCTGTGTTGTGAGAAAAAATTACTTCATAGAGCCACTATAATGGAAAGAAGCAAAGGACAATGACAAAATAAATTTTAAACCCCACAGTTTCATTGGTCTCTGTTTTGAGTACAAGAACTATAAACAAAAAGGAAAAGAAAAACTGATTACAAAGAGCTGTGTCTAAAACTACAGGAGGAAAATTCAAAGCAGTGCCTTGCTTAGCCAGGATCCAATTTAATTTTTAAAAGTAGCTTTGTTCAACGATTTTTCCCATATGTAATAAAGACCAACATTTTTACGTCTGATCAAATTTCTTTTGAGTGACTGTAACCTATAGATGCCATAAGCTGAGACAGAGTGATGGAAGTGTTAAGGCTTCAAAGCTTCCCAGTAATGGCCTAAACCATGAAAAGCTCATTGTGAACCTAGGTATGTATCAAGTGCAGAGCAAATAAGTGGCTTTCTATTAGGAATTAAAGAAAAAAAAAGTTATTAAGAAAACTAAACTTGTGTTAGATTAATTTGAAATGAGATACAGGTGAACCAAACCTAAACCTTGACCTCTAATCAAATAAATCTGCAATGTGAATCACGTGCCAAAATACTATACTGCATTCAAGGTTAGGATTTGGATTGGGCCCAGTGCAGTTACAGCCAGGTCCAGCCAGGTCCAGCTACTGAAACACATTGGAAAGGTCTATCTCAAAGCAAACTTCTGTGTAGGAAAAAAGAAATGTTTACTGTCTGGCATGACATTCACTAAAATCACAGAAAAGAACCCTACTGACTGTGAAGCTCAAAAAGTTAGTAGCTTTGAACTAGAAGGCAATTTCCAGCTCTGCCTCAAATTCCTGTCTCCTTGGGTAAGTCATAGAGTATCTGTGCATTTTTTTCTGTGTACAAAATAGGAGGTACCCTGGGCCACTCCATTAACACTGTGAGTTTCCCTTTATTAGTGAGTGAGGTACCACAATACAGTGATGGAGATGTAAAATAAACTACCTAGTTTGGCAGACTAAGAAATATGAATGGTTGAATTTTATGATTCTATTATAGAGTGGGTGAAATAGTGAAGGGAAACAGCATTTACCAAGGTTGGAAAAGTGATATTTTCCAGTTGCAGATGAAGACATAGCTGAAGGAGAAACAAGCGGGGACTGACTGCCAGTGTCTTGCAGGCCTCCAGTTGAATGGGAGCGTAGCCATTCCTTGCCTTCCTCCTGACTTGTCTGCCGGGATGATGGCGTATATCTGAAAAACCACAGCTAACATGCTCAAGACAATGACAAGGTGATGTCTTGGAAAGAAACAGTCACATAAATACCCTTCACCAGTTAGATAGGACAAAACCCTTGGAAAGCAGCAAATCTAGCCAAATGATTATTACCAGGGGCTTCAACAAGGTAAAATTTACCATCAGACTACAGCAGAAAAAAGTACAGGACTTGAAGCCCCTTTCCTCTTAATACCCCTCCCCAAAACACCATTCTTTTCCTTTGAAGAGATATGAAGAGAGACATTGCAGACAGACAACTGAGCTGACAGGAAAGGACTTCAAAGCTATAGGAAGTGTACAGGTTGATGCAAAAGCTCGGAAGCTGTATGGTTAGGATGGGGAATGAACAGACTAGAAGCCAAGAAATGTGAGTAGCCACTTACAAGATGACATCTGCCACAGATCCTGTGGGCAATTGGTTAGATGACAGGAGTGAAACAGATCAACAACTCTGAAAAAGGAATTTGCACTGGTAATGACAGCTACTCATGGTCACACACATGAGGTCTGCTGCTCTGAATGCTACAGACATTGTGTCCTGCCCCAAACTGGGGGGGAGGGAAAGGGACAGGAAAAATCCACAATTAGCAGAAGCAAGTTCTCTGGAAGGAAGAAGTCTGGCAATCAAATCATTCATCAGCTGCTTCCTATGGCAAACCAATGGAACGAGCGTAATGTGACACATGGGCTAAGAGGGAGAACTGCGAACTCACTGGCTCAGTCTCTCTTCACTAGGCTGGAAGAAGAGCAATTCTGGCAGTGGTTAAACATTAAAATGTGCAGGCAGTGTGGATCTTAATCAAGAGGTTGTTTTCAACAATGTCTGCAATAGCCTGCTTTGTTCAGCACAATCTGCTGCTGCTAAATGAGCACCTTTTCACCCACTGTCATGAGCCATCAGTGTTCCCCAAACAGCAGAAGAGGAGAAAGGGCTTTTGATATTCTGGCTTCAGGCTCATGAGGCACAAGTGTTTCTGCTTAGAAAGAAGATTAAATGAACATGTAAGTTCTTGTGTTGTGCTTGGGGTTTTGTACAATATTTTATGGCACTAAACCATCTTGTTCTTATTAAATATTTACTTCCTTTCCCCTTTCAAAATGACACTACGACATTTGCCTGTAATTGTGGTAGAGCACAGACTTACCAAGTGGTTATCACATTGGAAAGATGGCAATATGAGAATTAAGAATCTGAGTTTTGGACTGGGATCTCTGCATATTAAATCAAACTTAAATTTTTTCTTGGCTAACTGATCAGGCTTACATGCCTATAAGCAGTTTTCGCACTCCATTTCACTTTCAGCTTGCAGCCACTATTACAGTTGTACAGACACAAACCTTGATCATCCCATTGTACCTTTGCAGAGTTGTGATTATGCCTCTTTTGTGTCTTCCACCTTTTCCATTCTCTACAAATCCAAAATGATTGTTTTGGGGTAACAGGAGATTTGATTAAATTCTTATTAAGGAACAGCTAGTGCAGAAGGTGCTTTATAGTGATAACAGTTTAGCACTATCTTAAAATTTCATAAATATTATTTATCCACAACTCAAGAGATTTACTGTGTAATTTCAGTGATTGGAAGGCTGCAGAGTGTCTTTGTGCATGCACATATATCCTTGCTTGCCAAATCTTTTTCCTGGATTGGGGAGATAGTCTTCCATTGCTGATGAGACCAGCCAAGTTACCTAACGATCCCCTCCTTTAACCATGGAGCAGAGAAGAAGGTGGATAAATTCTGTTTTCTGTGATGAAGACAGCTCTATTTAGTAAGGAATTAGTAGCAAAGCTGGACTCTGAGTATTGTTGGATAGGGACCAAGAAGACTATCTAGAGCAGGATTCATTTTATACGTACAAACATTGGATAATACTAACAAAATTAGTATTTCTTAGCCCTACCCTTTACTAGATCTTCAATTCAAATTGCATGAGTGTGTCCATTGAGAGTTCAAGTTCAGATCCACCTCTAAAACCTTGTTTTTCTCAGTAATGTTCTCAATAATTAGTCCTATTAAATTGCATAAATATCTTGTTATGTCTCTTTTAGCTCTCCAGGATTCAATGCCTTTTAAGATTCGTTGCATAAGGAAATGATCCTTAAAAGTAAAAAAGTATGTACTTTTCATGACATATCTTGAAAGGAAATTTATTCATTTGGCAGACTTGGAAAGAAAAGGTCCGTTGTTAAAAAATACATTTTCTGGTTTGAATCTAAATTCCAAGAATTCTGTTGTAAACAGGATCAACAAAAGGAGAAAGAAAAGTAGAGGCAGTGTAGAAAAGGTTACAGGAAAACAAAGAAGCATTAGTCATGCTCAAAAAAATATATACCTTAATCCCTTTTTGGGTAGTGTATTTCTGTCAAGCTGTATGCTGTTAAAACAAAAAAAAATCCCTAAGGACATACAGTAAACAGGACTGTTCAGAATAACAAATTTTAAAGCTCTACGTTTCTGCGCATAACAGAAGGTTATTTAATGCCTTTTAATATAACCTCCATGCTAAATCCCTTATTCATTGGAGGGGACAATAGGACATGGACTGTTGCACATTCATTTTTCATCTAGACGTGCTCTGGGCTGGGTCAATAGTAATTTGGAGACTGTTCAAGTCAGAAAGAAGTGTTTCTTTACCACTTCTAACCTTCCCACAGCTTCACTCTGCAATCTGTATGAAAATCATATGGTCACAGCATGAATCTTTATTTTTCACAGTTGCCTATGATAAGCCAATAGATTTCAAAAAGAAATGAAGGTTGTGGCACCTGCTAAGGGACAGCATGGCCTTGCCAGAAGCCAAATGACAGCTCTGCATGTAGAAATATGGGCTAGAGATACAGGCTCTTGGCTGTGTTGAGGGGCTCACATAGTAGTGATAGTGGGGACAATGAAAAGTGGCACCAGAGCAACACTGTTCCATATTCATGCACACACGGTGTCTGAGCAGCTGATTACCCAAAATCTATGGCTGGAGTTTTCCTCATTTAAACCCCATCACTAGAAGGGCACCCACCAGTCTTCCTTCCAACAACTGTCATTTGGGCATTTCATCATAAAGTCTTGGTAATTCAGTCTCTGACTAGTGTGGGTCGAACTAGTTACCATCAAGCATTTTTCCCTTAAGAATATAACTTAGTGTCACTGTACAGATTAAATGGTGAAATGACTTTAGAAAGTTTCTGTACTACATATCATAATCACATCTCTGAGAGCAACAGTAACTTAGGATGCTTCTTACCCAAGAAAACTCTCACACCTTTATTAAAGGTGGTTTCCTATTTTGCTGGGAGTGAAGGGTGTCCTACTGTCTTTAATCTTCATCCAAGTAAGTAAAAACAGTGAAAACATTGTTGGCATTAACAATCCATTAATATTAGGGCTCTAACTAATGGATGCAAATCTCCTGCCAACAGGAAGTTTTATAAGCAAATGTAATAATTTAATAAGGGCTTTGTTCTGCATGTGGAGAAAGGAAATGGAAGGAGAAACTTAGCAGAATTTTAGCACAGGCATTGTAGTCCATGTGAGAGTAGTCCCATGTGGGACTATATTTTCAGCATTTTGCTCCCAACATAACTAATGGGACCAAGAATGGTTGATAAAAAGCCAGCATAAATTTGAGTGCATGATTCACTTATTTTTTAGTCCCTTATAGAGAAAAATGGGGCCTTGATGTTCTTTTATATACCTTTATGCACCTCTAAATTTAAAAAAAAATTAAACATGGTCATAACACCAGTTTCTTCTGCAAATACTTAAAAATCCTAATGAACAATTTATTTTCTAATATTACTTTAACTTGAAGAGATATGTATTTCAAAATAATTGATAGCACATTATCTAAAAATAAAGGAGTCAGAACTCCTTTAAAGCAATCCACAAGCCAAAAGTTATGTCAGTCAGTTAAGTAGACTAGTAAAGACCATAGGATTTTGCAAAAAACCTTTTGAATTCAGATACTCAAATGAAATAGGGGTCAATATTCCTCAATATAAGCATGGAGTTGTTGCAGCTGCATAAAAGTGAGTGTAGTAAATACTCATTATATGTTTTTAAAATACTAAAGCTTATGTAGACACTCCTAGATTTCAGATAATTGTATGAAACCATTAACCATGGTTTCATGTAACTATTACTTCAGACCAATAACTTTTAGTATCTAAAATCATTCATCCACCAAAAGCTGAGGACAAGACATCTACAGAAACTGGACTTTTGGTAAACAGAACTGAATTTACCTTAGATTTCTAAGGATGATATGATAAAAAAGTCAGTCCTTTCCTAAAAGAATCAATGCATACATGAACAAATACTAATATAAAGTGAGGATGAGAATACCATAATATTCCTGATGTTTTCCTTTGCCATTTCAATTGCAAAAGGCTTTCTTGGAGGAAGATGCATGCAGATGTAGGCTGAAGTTATCAAGCCCACTGTATCTAGTTCTCTTTTATTTATTTTGCAGTGCTGAAACTCACTGCAACTTCTACTATAGAAAGCCTTTCAGTTCTCAGTTTCCTACCTGCCCTTGGTGTTGAGGTTACCTGGGGAAGAAGCCATAATACTATACCCTTGGGCTATACATATAACTATTTCAGAGATGTTTAAGGAATAAAACAAATTACTGCAAGCTAACAAACAACTAGAGAGGTCTGTGACAGGCTGGGATAAGCTGATATGGGTCATATAAATGAGTTTCTACAAATGATTGAGGACATAAGAAAATCTGATACATGATGCACTGTTTCACACCTTAAAACCACAACCATCAATTATGATGATAATTTAAAATAATTGAATGTTTTGAAGAGCGTAGGTGGATTTCAATGCATTTTGATGGCCTTCAAAATGAAACATTCTTTTAAAGTAAACCAGAAAAGGCTGGTCATGTAATTAGAAACCACTTCCACTCTGCTGATCTTAAAATGTAGCTATTACTGCTGCTGAGACCACTGTTAATTCCTATATTTCTGCATTTTTAAGCACCTCTTGCTGTGTCACTCAGGCCAAGCAGAAGAAAGTCACAAATCTGCAATGCCCAACAGCATCTAAGGGTTTGAAAGAACTTGTGGTGATGTGTCCACCTGGAAAATGCTATAATTAAAGTAATGATATTTCACCAATTAATTCCTGAAGATGTCTTTGTTTTACAAAATAAGTACCCATATGTTTTATTTTGATGCCTTTAGATTTTTGTAAGGTAAAATACAAGTGTCCTCCCATACAGAGAGTTACACTGCTATGACAACAGAATTAGACCTGTCTAAACAAATACTGCTAGTGCAAAACCAAAACCAGCAAAAGGCCTGAGATATGCAAAATCTGCTGAAAAAGTAAATAATTTGTTAGTATTTATTGAGCCTATTTCCTTTCTATTACAATATAAAAGAATCTCATTGAATAATACAAAATTTGGCTGCAGTAAACTTCAACCCTTCACTCCAGAGTTGTCAGGAAGTTCTGTGTTGATGCCATACCACCGTTCAGTGGGTAGTCTGAAGACTGTGGGCAATGTGGACAAAAGACTTTGCAGATTTGCTGTCTCCATGGCAGGTGACTGATTTTTTGGAGGCAGTCAAGGGCTACTCTCCTTCACAGAAAACTCAGACATTTTGTTCTCATTTTCTGGGTTCTTTCCAGCTGCATCAAATCTTTCTTAAAACTTCATGTCCCCAGGTCTTCAACTTAAAGCCTTAACACAAAAAGGTAGAGTGGGATACCTACTTTCTAAGACTTATATGTGATATTTTCATTTTCAAAATGTTTTGTCCCAGCAATGGCACTATAACTCCTTAGACACTTTCTGCAAAATAGCCTCACCATTTTCCATTTTATATCTGTTCAAATATATCCTACCCTGTTATATCCCTTCAGACAAACGAGCTTTTGATCACTAATCCTCAATATGTCTTTACCAACCAGTCAAGCATCTTTTTTTCTCCTGTTTGCTCATGAGAATGTTATTTGAAATAGCACTTAAAGTTTCACTAAGTTTAGGATTTTTACTGTATCTACTAATTCCTTTCCTGAACTCAAAAAGCCTATTTTCCTGCAAATGAATTAAATTAGTCTTATTTAAAAGACTGTTTATGACTTATCCCATGTTATCTCTCCCTTAACCCATTTTGTTTAATGTTCTTTCCCTGCAAGGTCGCCGTCCCATACTCCCCTCGCCATCCATCCCAGGTCTCCTCCTCACTCTTTCATCAGCACAGACCCTTTGAAAACTCTGCTTCAGTTCTAATGACTGCAGGGTTATTTCAGAAGTAGTGAAATGAAAAGTTCATCAGGACCAATAAAATGGAGTGATTTTTCACCATTTCATTTCCTCTTAGTATGCTTGCCATTATTGATATTTATCTATCAAATTGCAGTTCAAATGTGCTTCAGTGAAGCAAACCAATATTTTTTCCTATCGTCTATCATTACCTTTCAGTTTCTCCTAGGCTTTCTCTGCTTGCTTAACACTGCTTCCTAGTTGCATCTCATTGTACACTTCAGTCTTTCTGATTTTGTCTCTATATTATCTTAGTATATCTGACTATACAGACTGCTGATTCAGTCTTTTGCAAGCTCTAAAGTGACTGAAAAAAAAAGAAAAGGCTTCTTCACAGATAATATTTTATGCCATGCCATGATACAATTAGCATTGCCAGAGGCATTTGAAATGTAATCTGAGTTTACAAAGGAAAAGGGATATAATCTGCTGCCAAATCTATCTGTCTCCAATACACCAAATTAATGCTTTTAGTGTGGAAAAAATACTTTACTACATGTAAGTTTTAATGTATAAATGGGTTTGCAAATAATTTAGCACTTGTATCAGACCCTTCAGAAAAACCAAACTGCAAAAACCCTATTGAGGCTATAATTCAAGAAATGATACCATTTACTCAAGGTACATACATTCCTCTGAGGCCAGATCAACATAAAAAAAGGCTCTCTCTGTACTCAGTCATAATATCCCCATATGCACAAATCCGAAACTTCAAAATATTGCCAAAGGCAAAGTATTTGGAACACTGAAATTAAGTCAGCGAACAAATACATGAAGTATTAGTAGTGGGGGTTGCTCAGGAGCTTATGCCAAGGCATTAACATTTGAAATGTGAGGTTTAATATTCTCTGTATAAATATAATCTTTGGCATAAATTCATACCCTTCCACATCATTCTATTGACCTCAGCATCCATATATGTAGCACTGATGGATTTTATAAGCTAAGTATTAATGATTGGCCTTCTAAGAAATATTGTCACATTCGGATCATGGCACACAATTCAAATTTCTATTTAAGAATTAAAGGCACAGTGCAAATTACAAATTACTCCTGTATCAGTGTATTTTTATCTACTGTTGTCAGCACACATTATATTGGTACACATACATGTTTTATAGCGTTGTACTCATTGAGATGCGTGATTTTTAGCCAATGTAGTAATATTTGTGAATGTAACATAAGAGGATGAAATGTGTGGAAAGTTTCCATCTAAACTTGTCAAAGGGTTTTTTAGCATTATGGTTTTGATCGCAGTTTTTTTTAATGTTGGTTCTCTGAAGTGAAATTTATATATGGAAAGGATTGATGTTGAAAAATCTCAGGGTTTATATAAAGGGGGGAAAATCTTGACATTGTATATAAAAGATCTTTTTTTACTTTAAATGATTGCGTGGTTAAACAACTAACTAAATTTAAAATATAAAAGCTAAGTTTAAAATATACTGAATAAGTATAATATTCTTTTTTGGATCAAAGGCTAAAAAAATATTTGCTAATGATGTTTAGTGCCCCATGTGAGATAAGAGTTTCACAGTCAAATCTTGAAAATTTTTACATGAAGTAAAAGTTATTTAGTGCCTCGCAAAGATTATTTTTTTTTCTCTTATAAAAGTCAAATCAATGAAAAGGAAAAGCAAACAAAAAAGGAAAAACTCAAAAACTTGGTACAACTGTTCAGGCTGGTTGCACCTCTTTATAATATAACTTATATGGTAAAATGTTTACATATCAAAAAGATCTTTAATAGAGCAAACAGAGGAAAACACTTCCTTGAATTTCCTTATTCCAGACCTCTGCCAGGACTAAGCATATAGTGAGGATCCCATCTTGTCAACTGTCTCCCTGCCAGTGCAAGTGCATTTCAGTAAGGATCTGTAAAGATCACCATGTAGGAAGCTACTTGTCAGGGCTGAGTATTTTAAGGGAGGACTGGTCAGCTGAAGGCCAGGACCAATCAGCTCTGCCTGTGTTTTGAGCTAATCTGGAAGCAAAATGGTGGGGGTCCTACAGCTGGAGGTTTGCTCACAAGAGGGCAGGATCTTTGGAGCTGCCAGTTGGTGGGACAGCAGGTAGATCCAGCATGTAGGAATCATTTTGTGGCTGTTGGCTGTTTAAATTTGCCTTTAATTAGACAATTTTCCCCTTTTCTCTGGTGGTTCTCCAGAACTAGGGAACCAAAAAAACTTCTCAAGGTAGAAAAAGTGCTTGTAAAACCTTAAAAGGCAGTTGATTCCACATCCAATGTCTTTCAGCTTTCTCTTCTTCCTTCTTTTTTTACAAAGAGGACTAAGCTGCGAATTAAACAGTGTCCCTTTAGCAAAGCGGGTGGAGGGTTTATTTTTTTGGCTCCTGTCCTTTTGCCTCTCACTGATTTTGTGGTCACTATATCTATAGGCAAGCTCACCTTTCCGAAAGAGTAGATCTGACGCTTCCAGTCCTCATGAGCAGGCTCTGAACCTCCTGAGTGCTTGTTGTCAGTCCAGAGAGAGAGCCATGATGGCTAAGAGGAAGGTCAATAGACTCGGAACTGGTGTGAAGGCTAGTCATGGACTGGTAACTTGGTGTATCCTTACTGCCCGCTGAAGAGCTGCTCAGGTTTGCAGCCCACACAAGACCACCTGATGTAAAAGAGTGCACTGAGGCAGGACTGGAAGCCAAGGAGTGACTTAAGCTTACAACATCTGCATTTAAGTCCGAAGGTTTACTGAAGAGGGGGCTGCTGCTACCACTTTGCCCACCTGCACTGCCCATGCTGCCTGTGCCCGAGGATGGCGATTCCAGGCTGCCTTGCCGTGCCAATGTGGTACTAGGGCTGGGCATTGCCGATGTGGGTTTCACACCTTCAGTACTGGGTGCAGAGGCAGCTTTACCACTTGCCTTGGCACCAAACAACCTAAATGTAAAACAAATAGCTTTAGAGAAACTGATAGCCGCATTAAACATTCATGGCGCAACATCCTAAGAGCCAAACTACACATTTTTAATTACTGCTACTAAAATCATGCCTACCTAGTTAACCGATTGCAGCGCAAAATTAAAATTACTTAACCATATCACAATAATCAGGGTTTGTTTCTTTAGATACAGATCTCATTCACTCCTATTCAGATGTGCTCTTTGCACATAGAGAGCCTCCCAGAGAGAGGTAAAATAATCACATTTTTGTCTTAGTTCATAAACAGATTACACTTTCACCCAAATTCAGTAATTAAGCGTTCCCAAGTCATTAGCTTTTAAACCTCTCACTTCTCAAATCTGCTAAGATGAGTGCAACAAACACTTGCAAAATCCTTCATAGTTTAATGAACATCTAAGTATTTGTGCAAAATTTCCCTCTTGTTGTTCTTTTGCACAGATGGTCATGCGGTCATCAGTCATGTAGTAACCACTCAGACAGAATAAACTGCACTATGGCTAAATGGGCTCAGTTTGTCTCCAAGGGCAGTAATGACAGAAGTGTGTTTCACATAACTTCTCCCAGTAATTCTAGAGAAGAAAATTCTACAGTGATGATGGAAAAATAAATTGCAAATCCTCTAAATTTGAACTAAAATGTCATGTGATGTATTGATGTATTTCTGGAAATATTTTAAGCACCTTAAAATATTAAGGTCCAGCTCATAAATAATTAGTAAATAAATACAAAACTTATCATGATGTAAAGTAAGCACGTCTAATAACAAAAGAATCCATTTTCCGTATTACCAAGCCCACAATACTCAGCTGCAGATCCCCAGCAGCCTGGAAATGCTGTTTTAGTAATTAGGCACAAGAGGGCACTATTGGCTTTTTCTCCAGCAGTGCAAGTGCTCCATCCCAATTTGCACTCCATCCAGATTTATACTTCCAGAAATGTTACAATAGGGCATTTCCAATTGAAATTTAGCCTTGCCAATGTTTGTGACAAAAGATGTAACAAAGCTGCTAAGATAATGAAACGTTTGTAGCTGGAGCTGCCAACAATGTGAAAGCAAATCTAAATCCTTATAATTTAAAGAGCTCTTCAGTTCTCCATCCAGAATATGGCACTGCCTGTTCCAGTAACAGAATGTGTCTGAACACAGAGTCCTTTTTCCCTTTGCGGGTTTACTAGAGTTTTGAGAGGGAACTTCTCTTGTGGTTGAACTTAAAATGATAGAATATCTTGAGTTGGAAGGGACCCATAAGGATCATTCACCCCAACTTTTAGGCTTCAAACTGTTGTTAGGGGGATGTACCTAAAGATCAAGGAGCAGCCATTTCAGGTCTGGGAAGGTCTTTAAATCTTAAAGAAATAATTGTGTTGTATAAAAAATATCACCCTTTTATTTTTCTGTACTTGATTCTCTGTTTTTGACAACATATACCCTGAAAAGGCTTTTTGCACAGTACTTCAACACATTGAAAATCCTTGCTTTATATATTGCAACTTCAGGAAATGATAGAAAATGTACTAACCTTCGAAACGTAGGGGAAGCAATATCCGGGTATTTGGATCCTGGCTGTCTAAGTCCTGGTGTGCCAGAGGCGCTTGCCGAAGTTGGGCTGGATTTAGGAGAACTGGACAGTGAGACACTTTCAGAATCGGACACAGCCACTTTCTCCTTTTCCTTGTCTGTCTGGTTGATGGTGACAGGGCTGGACCGCCCAGACCCAATCTTGCTTGGCTCTCGCAGCTTGGTGGCAGCAGCACCTGCAGACTTGCTGCTCACATTGGAGTCGATGCTGCTGGTGCTGGAACGGTGGCCGCCCCTGCCAGGGATCCCACTGCCGCTGGATTTTGATGGGCGAGGTAAACTTCGATATTGTAGAGTTGTCTTTGAGCTCACATGCAGGATGCCATCATCCTGGTTTTGGGAACCATCTAAGCTCGTTTTCCTCCCTGCGTTGGACTTCCCACTGATGGCTGAAGATTTTGGCATTTTTCCTAGAGTTGCTGACCCGCTTGTGATGGTCGCTCCACTTGCAGTGATTATGGTAGAAGATCCCAACCCAGACTTCTTAAATCCAAATGACCCTGTAGCAGTTGATCTCCCAATGCCAGAGGGAGGCTTTTTTCCTTCATCGCCACTGCTTTTTCCTGCATCCGATGGAGAGCGCTGTATGGAGGCTCCTTTCAGGGGAGTTTTCACTTTTTCTGAAGCTTTTGCATCATCGGTTTTTCCTAAATAAAAGTACATTTGAAAAGGTCACTTGCGTTTAAGCTGTAGTGTCTCAATATCTAATTCCAACACTGTATGATTACAATTTCAAGATGAAAAAATACAGAAATAGAAAAATTGCCCTAAGAAAACAAACCAGTTTGGCCTTTAGTTTCCCATCAACTTTCAGTAGCAGGTATGACACATTACAGGTAAGCATTAAGTATTAAAAGCTTGAAATTCCCCTGAGGACTTGCAGTTTCTGGAGAAACAGCTGGAGAATGTAGTTGCAGAAAATTAGCTTGAATGAACTATAAGGAATTTTATTTGACTTATTTTTTCTGTTAATAGTATTTCTATATGAAAGAAATAATACTTGAAAATAAAACATAACATCTAATTAACATTTCCCGAAGTATGACATTTATTATGTATGTAGAGTCTACTGGTACTTATTGAGTTCTTTCGTTTTCACTGATTACATTTGTTTGGTTTATGAATAAGTTTGTTCTGGTTTTTTGTTACACAAATTATCAGGGAGTGTAATGTTACATTATCATGGTATGAATCTTCTTGATTTATAACAATATCAACTACACGTGTTATATAGTCTCTGTCATATCCTTGATATCTTCTCAATATTTTTGATTTTCTGAGAGGTTGTCTTCAGTCCTGAACAGGCGCATAACTATATATTTCTACGTAATGTTATTGTAACATTCAGAAAAATTTCTCTTAAGAAACTAAAATGTAGCAAAGAGCAACACCTGCAAGTCAGACTAAATCCATTCCTGTTTTTATCCAGTGCACATTTCATGCTACACATGCCATGATATGGATCAGACCTGGCAAACATACAGATCATTAGTATATGCTTTACAAATAAGGTTTTAATTCTATGTTGCACTGTGGCTGCCTGTTCATCATCAGCTAAACAGATCTGGGAAACTTAGCCTGGCATGCAGTAAACCTTTTGGTATCTCCATTTTTTAATTGATATTAGAAAGGTGTGATTTCTGTATCCATATGATCACTAACCATGGCAATACTCCTCAGGGATCTTACAGACCAGAGTCTGATCAACGTTTAGCAGTTCTAAATTGCAAAGAAACAAAAGGGGTTAATGAAGGATTTGAATTAATTCTGGGGAAATCTTTGTTAGTTGCCTTTACAACTGGAGGTTGAAGCATGATTATGTACTATTTTGTCAGGATATGACAAAGCTCCAGAAAATGTCCTACAAAGAATCCACATTTCCATAGTAAAATGATGGATTAGGATTAGATGGCCTTAATAATTATCTGTTCCACAGGCTTTGGAGTCTTTCTGCAAAACTAGATTGCAGAAGTGGTTACTACTTCTGAGAGGCCTTCCAAAACCAGGTAAGAAAGCATCTGTCACTGAAAGCATGTAAAAGACATGTTTTTGCAACTTTTTTCTCTCTTAACAGTGGTCTCTAGAACACCCACAGTATCTGGAATATGGGAATTCATTTTTAGTTCAGAAATAATTAAAAATATAATTTTGAATATCCTCACTTGAACATTCAATCTTTTTGACTCAGCTTCTAATATTTGACCATTTCTAAGCATTGTTCAATTATCTAAGGTTTTCTAGAGAACAAGGATAAGGCATAGATGAATCAAAAAATAGTTTTAAGTATTTCTTAATAGAAGCTGACATACACAAATGATAGTACAACAAAATGCAATCACCAATCACAGTTTTTGTTGTGGATGCATTCATGTGTGATTAATAAATTATTAGTATGCAGTGTAGCGAACTAACAGTTATAGAAATTAACAATTTAGTATATTATTAAAATCTTGGCTTACAGTCATTTGTGGGAGGAACTATCAATATGTTTACAATGCTTCGTGCCTATTACAAATATATAATATCCATCAATTATTTTTAGCACACTAAAGATTCCTTACTGCTTATAGATGAATTCTAAGTACAAAGCTTTGATTTTCAGTACTGTAATCTGAACTACAGAAGTTTCCTACCTGGGGTCTTGAGCGCGCTTGTTCCTGCTTTGTGCCTGGACTGAGCTGTTCCTACTTGTGCAGTCATACCTCTTCTCCAAGATCCAGTCTGTGATATAGAGACAGATGCTTTCTGCCCCCCCTTCTCTGACTCTTCAGACAGCCCTGAGGGAAGGCCTTTCCACTTGCCACTGCTGTCTACACTGCTGTCAAAGTCTTCCTCTGGTTTCTTCAGTTCTTCAGTGCTGCCCCAAGTTTCGCTGTCTGTAACTGAGCGCTTCTCTGAGTCCGTCTTCAGCTACAAGAGATTTGCATGAGAAATGGTAAGTCCAGGCACCTTCATTATTTGCTGATGTCTTAAATCACAGGAGGGAAGGAGAATAAGCATATTTATTTATTTGCAGCAAGGGCCACAGAAACTTTACTTCTAAAACATTAGTATCCTCATTCCAGAACTTTAAAAACACACCCATTTGGGGAAGACATTTCTCTTTTTTTTCTTTTTTAATTTCAAAAGATTTCATCCCTATTCTTCAGATAAACCTTAATGAAATGAAACATAATTTCCTCTAATCATCAGTGGTGTTACCCTATTGTTCCTCAACTCTGTCTGAATTTCAGAAGTGAATCACTGTGCTGAGAGGTTTTACTAAAAGGTTGGGTGAGGGAATTTCTAAATACACTACTAAAATCACCTCAGTCTGGTTTCCTGCCTTTTCCTACCCAAACCTTCCATTGACTGAATTAGGAATATTTCTCTAACAGCACAGAGTATGCTGTGCCACCAGTGAGCAAGGTTAACATCTTCAGCTAGAGTTGATGGCTATTCTTCTGGTCTCTCTCCACAGAAATGAATTGTGTCCAACAAGAAACTCACTCTAGCTGTATCAGCCAGGAGAGCAGCAGAGAGGCTTACGTGAGTGCTAACCATCAGCATTGTGAAGGCAAGCATCCAGGCTCCTGCTTACTCTGAAACTCAGACCTATGTGGATGATACACCACTGAGGACCTACCGATCCTGTGACATCTGTTTTCCCTGAGGCATGTTGATAAGGAAGGGACTGCTTCAAGGAGCAGCCCAACAAAACAGACAGTGTAGAAGCTGTGAAAGTGGTTTAAATAGAAGTGATGGAGACTGACCCTACCCTCTATGTTTGACAAGACTGCCATTCTTTGTGCTGACAGGCTGTTCAGTGTGACTCCTCCTCTTGTGTTTTCCTGCAGACTCCTGACCTCAGCCTCAAGCCTTATTTGCACATTACCATCTCACCAGTCCTGCTTGTCTCTGCCTCTCTTTAACAGCAAAAACATGGTGCTGCTCTCAGGTATCACCAACCTAAGAGGGGCTGCAAAGTGGATCACATTCAGGGACGGACTATTTATAATTCTGTGCTGTCACGACTCCTTCACCACAGAGACCCCTCTGAGGCTGCTTCCTAGGCACTCTTGTCATAAGTAGGATTAATACTGATTAGATGACCGACAGATTAATCAGTTCCTGTTTACATATTTGTCATTTGAGGTGTGCAAAATGCAAAAGCTCTCTGCATTTCCATAATTTCATATGTGCTTTGGAGAAGCTAGCACACATTTTGGGTAAGGATTAATGGAAAAAAAAGCCCAAGCAAACATCTACAAAAAATATTGCAGGGTCTTCAGAAGAGAGTTTTCATTACAGTTATTGTTACAATATGTGTAACATGTAACAACATGCTCCTAAAACTTTTCTGACAAATGGCTGTAAACACATAATTATATATCTTTAAAGAAAACTTCATCATTTCCAAAAGATAGCAAATACAATACTTTCTAACACCAACACTCTCTTCACCATTATGGTGACTAATCCTCTTTTAATAAGAAAACAGCAACAAAATATGCAATTTCTGCCTCAGGCTATAGCCAGCTCTCACTGTTCCAGACACTTAAAAAGACAGAGATCTCTGTGTTGCATGAGTATGTCTTACACCTGGAAAACAGCTGGCAAAATACATATTCTGTTCATCTCAGCTTCTCACTGAGATTGCCAGCTATCATGGAGTACAGTGAGTTCTGGTTAATTGTCCTAGTGAAGGCATACTTGATAAAAGTCTGTTCCTAGTCTTCATAACATAAAGCAACTCTGGAATAAAAGTAAAATTTGAATATGTATGGCATCTTTGTCTATCACTGAACAACCTGCAAATAGAAGAGAGGCTTATAGAGCAGCTAGAACATGAGATGACTCCAAAAAACCTACAAAGAGTTAAATAGTCAGGCTGAGATTTCCCAAAGCTGATGATGATGCATTGGAACAAGTAAGCCAGAACTAGCCAGCCATCAGTGTTGATGTGAAAGGGAAGAGTCTGATCTCCAGTTAGTAACCATGGAAGACCCTGATGGGGTGGGAAAGGCCTGAAGAATGCTGGTATTTCTATGAATATCTTTGCAAGACTACAACATTGGTATGATACCTGTCCTGCTGGAGATTAAAGTAATTTTCATTTCAAAAGTAACTATATTTCCTTATTGTCTGGGGGAATGACAAATACGTATTTTTCTCCTGCTCACAAAGTCTGCTACAATGTATGTCTACAAAACAGATCTCTGAATTGCAGACATTGGCTGCCTGCAGAGGACTAAATGGAATCAGAAGTGTCAGCCTTGAGTCCTGAATATTTGACATCAAATCACTGGAGGCAACCACTCTTCTCCTGTGCTGAGTGTTCAGCCTTGAAGTTCCCTGCCTGTAAACAGGAGATGACATGGCAAAGAATACTTTTGTGCTGGGACAAACTTTTCTGATTTTATTTCTTTTTTGGGGGAAACCAAGTCCTGCTAGCATTCTGTATTGTCTTTTTCCTTACTTGCAATTTTGAGGGGAGCTGCAAAAAAGTGCCGAGATACCTGGCACAAGATCTTTACATATACACACACGTACACACACACACACACATGTATTATGTGTATAGTTTGTGGCTGTGTGCTACTTAGAACTCTATTTTGATACTATGCATTGTCAGCTTGCATTGACACTTTCATTCCTGGACCTAGTCAGTGAGAAGAGAAGCTCTACCTTCTGTGGGTTTCTCTGGGAGGATAGGACAGTCTATATATTTCTTCCTTGGTATGTTTCAGCTCATAAAAGACAAAAACATATCTTATTTTAAATTGTGTTATCTGTTGAAAGACATACTCCAAAGGAGTTGAAGTTAGTAGAAATCTACCCATCACAGATCCAGTCACACTGTGGGTTTTTTGTGTTAGGACACAGCAGGAGCTGGGCAGTTCCTGAGGCTGGGATCAGTGGAGGCTCCCCAGGGTGGGCTGAGCAGGGTTTTGCCAGCGAGCACCTTCAGCAGTGGTGTGTGTCCTGAGAGCAGGGAATTTGAGATGCCAGACCACAGCTCAAGGTTGTGTCAGTGGGATCCATGGGCTTCTGGCACGCAAGTGTAATAGAGGACTTTATAAAATACAAATATTTCATTTGTTTCAAAGGTATCAATACTAAGCAAAGGCAGCAAAGGCATCAATACTAAACTTTTTCCTTTGTTATCCTGCATGCTTGTGGGGTGTTGCAACAAATGGCATGAAAAGCTACTCACCTGGGCATGAGTGTTCTTCCTTGAAGAGGCTGTTATATTGGAATAAGAGCTGACAGATGAGGTCGTATTCAAATCATCCGTGCTGAGGTTGTCAAGAGTGTCACTGAGGCCACTACTAACTGAGCTGCTGTCATCCCAGCTGCAGAGAAAGGAGCACATATACTTTACATACTGTGTGTCAATAGCCAGAAAGCATCTCAAAATCAATAGATGTGATTACTTATTCTTCAAGAGATTTATCAGAAAGTTTTCAATAATATTTCCTAATGTACAATGAATATTATTTTTCAGACTTTTAAATTAGTGATTCTCTCACAGTCAAGTGTCTGTTTGTTCAATTAATGAAAGATGCAGGTGTCTTTAAAAAAAAGTAACATCAGGTCTAAGTGCAAGTCACTAAAACAGGTTGTTTCATGCTTCATTGCAATCACGTTCCATACACTGGCAGGAAAAGCTATTAAGCCTACCTGGTAATGCTAGCTAAAATATTATAAATAGGTTGGAAAACACCTGATGAATTTCCAGACTACAAAAATTTAAAAGGAGTATCTCTTCTGCAGACTAACTATCAGAAGGAAGCCAGTATTTCCAAAAGTCTTGTCTTCAGTCTTTGTCTAGTGGGTGCAGTGTCATCATTGTACTATTGTCATTCATTGTCCTAGCAAAATAGGGACCCATGAGAATATAGTCACTGGAGTTGACAGAGAAAACATTATACATTTCTCAAGAAACACAGACTGCCAACTCTTCTGCTTTGAGAGACTGAGGCAGAAGATGCAAATGAGAGAAAGGCTACTCTTACAGAAATGTCATTACTAACTTTCACAAAAGCCTTGCTTTTGTATGGAAGGGAGGTTGATCTGTGTTACTCAGACCTATCTCTACAGAATTGCTTCTCTATGGCATTACATTTTGACTTTTACCTTATTGCAACATACAGCATTATACTCCCAGTTTTGCTACATCTCCACCTGTTAAACTTTTTTTGGATTACTGTCAGACCAAAGGTTTGATAAAAAATTGCCTTATCACTTGCGGTGGGATTCATCTCCTATAGTTTTAACTGTATAGAAGTTAGCTATCTCATTTAAGCTATCTAGATGTCCTCTCTAACTAGTATAAAAAGCAGGCTCTTCTAGAAGGTAATTCATCCTGGCTTTAAATGTCTCAGGTTTGTGAGATAAACTGTCCACTGAAGGTGCCTCTTTATGTCTTTTCCTCTCCTAAAGAGGGTTGATAAAGCCTCTTCTAGACATATAACTTCTAGAAAGACAAAGTGCAAACCACAATAGAATGCATAGTATCCTTGCTTTGCTGTAGCCTATATCATGAGCTGCTTTTTAGAAAAAAAAATAAAATCCAATCCCACAGTCAAATTAAAGCTTGGTACTATTACTACTAGTCATTCAAAGTAAACAAGGAAAATATCATGAGTCCTTATTTTACATTTGGAGTTTTGGGAGATAGCACCAGTGACAGTGAACTGCATGGCACAGAATGTGTGCTGATGCACCAGAAGGTTCAGTGCACTAGTCTGGTATCATAGCAACTGCAGCAAGCATTACCTTCCTTTAGCAAAATGTAGAAAATCACATTAGTAAGCCAGCTCAATGACAAGATAAACATATTTCTGAGGGCAAGAGTTTATTATAGAGATGCACTTTCAACCACTGAGTACAATGACTAGAAATAAATATGTCTTCTGTTACATTTACAGGTAATAAACACACAAGTGATTTAATAATGAAATTCTAATATCATACACTACAGGTTGTCCACATTCATCTAAGAACCATCTCTGAAGCACTAGTCATTTATGCTTCCTGTGTTTTTCAGTCTAATGTGATACATAATTTCACTGATGCTAAAAAGTCACCATTCAAATGTTATGTACTACATGAGAATATACCTTTAGAATAGTGTTAAGACTGAGAATATTAAAGATGGATAAAAACATAATAATATTAAATGTGATTATGTTTTAGAAAAGATAATATTCTCTCACTAAAAGATATATTTTAAAAAATAAAAAAACAATCTTAAGCCAGATCCAAAATGAGGTACTTTCAGAAACAACATGATCTTTTTATATATGACTTTCATGTCAACTAATATTTGACCATCAGTTTTCTGAGTCTATCTAAGATCCTGGGGACCAAGATCAACCTTTCATCCTGTTTCTCCATATATGTTTGTTATTCTATTCTATTTTAATATTTGATACTTAATCTTGTGCGCCTGTTTCTCTGTAAGAAGACTCACATTTTCTAAACTCTGAAATAGTTCAGGTGATTCATTAAATATAACTGTATTCTCTACAACTGAAGTTTTCAGGCAAAAATTACTATGATTGTGTTTCCTTTCTATCATGGCTTCTCTGGTGTTTCACATTCATCACACCTCACTCATCAGTGGATTATTAGTGGGTTCTGGGAATTCTCATGGCCATCTTGTAAGATATACGGAAGATTATTTTGACACCTCCACTTCTGACCTTTCAGAGTCATCACTATATTTGTCTGGGGTTTTTTTCTCTTATGATAGATTCTCAAGAAGTTTTCTAAATTTGGGGGCTTTCATACAGCAAAATTTTTTGCTAAAATTCAGTATGGCTATAAAAACCAGAAATATCCAAACCCTCTTTCCTTCTGGCATATTTCTAAGGACTGTTAGAGAAACTGATTCCAACTGGAATCAATGCTTTGTAGTAGCCTTTTGAAAAGATGTAATAAAAACTGAAAACTCCAACGGAACAGACCATATCAGCCACCCTTTTGGCAATGAAGATTGTTGTTTGTACTTATTTTAGTGCATTGTCCAGAGTTGTTTTAACTTGCTTATGCAGCAAAATTTTTTATTTCAGTACTCACTGTTTCTACATTTACAGACCTATTTTTTGGATAATGAATATGACTGACTTACAATTTGAAAAAAAATTCTTGATGATTCATATTAATTTATTCTTTAAGCTGGCAAATACATGACAAAAACATCTGGTAAAATTAAATGTGCATCACTTTGAGATTGAAAACCCATTCTGGGGAGTCTGCAGCAAACTATAATTCTGTTCCTCCTACCTCTCAACAAAACAATATTCACTGTCAAACTGCAGCTAAGGGACTTAATATAGTCTTTTAATATACTGGCTAAGATTCATCTTTCATTTTCATTTTATCTTTCATTTACTTTTCTCTTTTTTACACATCCTACAGAGTCTAGGACAGGTTTGGTTAGTACTTCTGCCTATTAATGCCTGACACCACTTTGCTTTGAAAAAACACATTTTAACTACATACAGGTTTAGCAAAATCTGATTTTCTTTTTGTTTTGTGTCAGCCTTGTGGTTGATTTCTTTAAAAGAAAATGTCAGCAAATGCTGTTGAGTTTTCTGGGAGACTAAGGCTAAGAGAAGAGTGCCTTGTTTAAACAAGTTCTGGCAACCTTTTCTTTGGGAAACTTCTGAATCCTCAAGAGGATCTATAGAAGAACCTTGATATCTAGCAAGCCATAATCTGCACATTAAGGATATGCATTTTGCTATTTCTAAGAGAAATTATTTTAAATCTGGATAATTCATAATTCTCTTCAAAATCACTGCTTGCATATGCCTGAGATTTTTTTTCAGCAGCTTGACTCATTATGCTTTGTCTGGGTTCAAATCACCAGACAACAAACAAACAGCCCAGTAGTCACTACTCTCACGGTGAATATATATAACACCACAGGTTTTGATAACACAACCATATAGTATTTTTTCTCTAGAAACGCTTCATTAATTTAGTACTTGTAAGATGTCTGCTTTAGGGATGAATCTGAATTTTGCGTTAAAGCAAGATGCTTTCTGTAATTTTTCAAATAAGTTGAAAGTTCTGTAACAAAAGGAATTACATGAAGCATGATTGAAGCCTCTGGTGTATGAAACTTCCTGCAACCTGTAAGATAGTAGGTGACTGCTTTAGCATTTTTTAATAAGTTGGACACCAATAAAGAGCTTCTAGTTTCCTTCAGAGCTTAGCATTTGACTTGCAAAGATATAATGCATGGAAATGCATGCTTTGAACCTAAAATTAGCTGCAGTGATATCTCAAAATTTAGGTTACCATTAACTCAAATTGCATGTCAAAAACAAGAAGGTCTTTTTTGGACTTAATATTCCTGTACCTCAGCTTTACATCTCTAAAATGGACACAATACATGCATAAATGAGTTTGAAAAAAAGACTCTGGGGATATACTAGAAAGCATCTTAAAGGCAAAAAATTTCAAATGGCAGATGATAAATGAGTGGCTATTATTATGATAAATAAAAAAGAATATACAGAATGTCAGATTAACTGCTTTAAAACTGAGTACTCTCAATCTACACATTATAAAAAATAAGGAATCTAGAGACTGGGGATGTTGTTTAGCAGCCATGATTGTCCAAAGATGATTGTCCAAAAATATATGTGCACAAGAAATCTGACTTAAGGTTACAAAGGCCACCCTTTTGTTACTTCTGAGTGCTTTTGCAACCTCATGAAGTTCTGTTCACACAACATGAGTAACACTCAGCTTTATCTTTGTAATTCTGATCCTTCCATCACTTTAGTTGTACACCGGACTGAATCTGAGCAGGGGAGCTGTACAGCAATAGAAATGCCCCTCTACCTTGGGTGCTAGGACAAGTGTCCCAATCATGTGATAGGTATCAAAGGGTGGCTTCTCTCCCATACTCTGGTTAGACTGATGGTCACTATGCTACAGCCTTCATCCAGAAACACACCTCATGCTCTCTGACTTTGCCCAGTAGTAATACTTCTGCTGGAGAAGACTTCCACATTGTCCATAATTAGGAAGGTGGCTATGAATATTGTACACATCCCAGAGTTCCACAAATTGCTCCAAATGCTTCAAGCAAAGTTTTGACTCCTTGATCATATCAAATACTCCACACAGTTGAGAAATGCAGAACTTGCTATCTACACAATTGGTTAGTTTCCACTGTCACTCTTTGTCTTGCTTTCATTAGTGCGTACTTGTACTGAATAGATCTCATAATAATCCTCTCATTGACCTCCATAGTTATTTTGGAAATAGCAAGGTGTCTGAAGTCAAAATACCCAGTACTTAACATCAGTATGTAGAGCTGAACAAAGAT